TCCCTTCGACACTGCTTCCACAGCAGCACCACAAGGTCTCATACGCAGCACGATCGACGAGTGCGCTTTCATCGTCATGTGGAATGCGGCAAGACGTGTCTGTATTTGAAAGTTCAAAGAAAGAGGAGTGGCAGCGCACGCAATGGAGTTGTGGTGGCGGGGAGAGTTCGTGGAAGAACTGGGTAAGGGCAGTGAGTGTACGTGGGGAGGGGGGTATCAGTGGGGGATCGGAGGTCGGGGAGAGGTGGGCGAGGGTATATGTGTGTAGGGTCTGGGGAGGGACAGAGCGTACGAGGTCATACAAGGCGGTTGGGTCTGTTACCTCCGGCTCGGGCTCTGTTTCGGTGGTGGGTGGTGGTGTGGGCGAGAGGGCTACTGGTGAGTCAGTGTGTGAAAGTGAGGGAGAGGGTGTATGTAGTTGTGCGTTGGGTAAGGAATCGGGCTTGCGAGTGAAAAGACTGAAGACCATCGTATAGAACGTTGATCTGAGTCTTTCGGTTAAAATACTTAGGTGGTAGATAATGAAACAAAAGAAGGACGGTAGAAACGATATCTAGACAATATAATCTGCTCCCTCGAGGTCAACGCGTGCAGCACACGGGCCTGCACACCAAACAACGACAAATATAACTCCCATGCTGTCTGGAACGTGTTTTCTTGCAGAAACTGTAGGATCACACGATGTGAGACCAGATACATTTCCCTTCTGCATCTTAATGGCTGGGTTTCAAATCCTCGTTGACTTATAAATACCTCGGTCTTAACTTCTCCCTTGTCCCTCGTCTTTACCTCAGCTGAGCGACGGCCGTTTCAGATATCGCTACTACCGCAGAGACTCTCGCCAAACACCAATGCAAACTTTTTGCTGAACGTGTAATTGAAGGTGTTCTCACGCGGCGGTCCTTAAGCGTGATCGTTTGATTAGCCCATATCACACTACACGCTCAAGTACCGCTGTTATGACCCCGAGCAGTTTTTTCTTATTGACGCTACTTTGTTCGCCCTCTCGATCCATTCCTCACAAGTACTTGTCGCTTCCTTTCTCAAATCCATGCTTACATAAATACCTCAGGCTCTCGTTTTGAAGTCGGCAAGTTGTCACTAGCGCTAAACCTACTCGGAGCTCTCGCGTCACTGAACATCTCATTTGCATTGGGTGTGTGCGGCCTATGGCGTATTACCTCCAAGGTCAGATGAGTTTGAGGTCCTGCGAGCAAATGTGTGGGGTCGAGATTTGGGATGTGTTTCAACTAGCTAGCGCGAGCGACGCACATGCGAGATTTAATATGATGCAGGCCCGCTGTCTACCATTTCCACCTGATTAGCAGTCCTGTCAAGTATTCGGTGATTCCCTCCGTTCCCTCCTTGCACGCTCAAGTGCTAGCTGTTGATACGATTCCACCCTCTCATGATGACTTATTGCTAATATATTCAGGGTGGCAGACACTTCTCCTGGCCTTGGCGAGTTGTCCTAGTTGTGTTGTATAGCAACAACATCACTGACGCGAAGCAAACGCTAAATAATGCGGACTTCATCTCAAGTAAGACTTTAGTCTAGGTTAACGTCAGGATGTCAGCAGTTGCATGCGAATGCCAGAAGAACCGTCGACCAGGATTAGCATTTATGATGTGTAAGTCTCTCTCACCGGGCTCACTCATGTCTCATATACCTTTGTGTAGAATGATTTAACATCACAGACTTGACCATTTTATGGCACAGGAACTACATATGGTATGTGGTAATGTGTATTATGTTGGGAAGCCTAAATGCAACATACATAATGGTTCCATATAGAATTGCGTGTACTAGACGCAGCTAGAACGAAAACACGAACTGGTGGGCCCATCTAAAGGGTTATCGCCATACCGACTGCCATCCTCAATCACCGGAAATCTAAGAAACATGTTCTGAAGTTGCCGATCCAAAACCCCGCATCCAAGATAATACAACGTTCAATCACAGCTGACTTGAATCAGAGTTTGAAATGATTGATTATGTTCAATGCTAATGGCAAATCGCGGATACCCGTGATGCTAGCAACCAGAGCAGATCAAAGGAAGTGTCGGATCTCCGCTACGAACGTTCCAGGGAACAGAAGCTCAACATGTCACCGGGTGGAATACTACGTCTTTGGGTGACGATCTAATCAAAATTCGAGGGCATGGCCAATCAGGCGAATCGGGTGAACCGTGCATGTCTTCTTCCTATCTGCCGCATGGACCCCTGAAACAATTGCGACCAGGCCCATTGACTGATGTGGAACATTGCGGCGACACGACTTGGACGCACGAGCCTATTTGTTTAGATTGGCAAGCAAGGTACTTATGATAACCGCCTCATGTTTTGGACGTCCGGCGAGAGGGTAATCCTATAAGGCAGGTTTAAAACACCTCATCACACGCACCTCTGCAACTTCGAGCAAGACGCCATCCTCCCCACTCACAAAGTCCACGTCAACCGTGCTGCAGCTTCACTAATATGGCAGCGCTCATTTCAGACATCACACCCACTCGAACATTCGAAGACCACGAGGATCGCGTGATTGCACTCGCCGTTTTCCGCGACCGTGATGAACGCATGGTCACGGGCTCGTATGACGGGATGCTTCGTCTATGGAACTTGAAAACAGGTGTAGTGTTGAAGAAGATGGAGGGGCATCGCAGTCGGGTGCGGTCATTGGCTGTTTCACCAGATGGAAAATGGATAGCAAGTGGTGATGAGAGCGGAGAACTCATCGTCTGGCATGGAAACACCGGGGAACCACTCAACCAAGCACTCGATAAAGCCCATGACAGCTGGATATTCTCGCTTGACTTTTCTTCGGATTCCAGGATGCTGGCCAGTGGATCATCTGACACTACCACGAAGCTATGGGATACATCAACGTGGCAGGTGCAACATACACTCAGTTGCGGTGGACCTGTCCGCTGCGTTCAGTATTCACCACGGCCGATAGGCAATTCCCAAGCACTTCTTGCAATTGCAACGCACCGCTACGGTGTCCAAATTTACCAGAATTACACTTCAAACGGATATAATAACGTTTCCTACAGTCGCGATCACACACCACCACCTCCATTCCCCACTCAATCAAGGAGAACTATCGGTGAAGGATCCGAGTATTCACTCGCTTGGGCGCCCGATGGCTCACGGCTTTTCTCGGGAGGAAACGAGGCAGATCCCACCATACGAGAGTGGGATGTATCGACCTGGAAACAGGTCGGTGCTCCCTGGAAGGGGCATTTCAAGAACATCCACGCCATTTCTTTGAACTCTAGCGGCACTCTCCTTACCTCCGCATCTCATGACAATCGTGTCTGTCTATGGCGAATGTCAGATCGACGAAACATTGCCATATTCAACCACTCTGGAGAGGTGAACTGCGTCACGTTCTCTGCGGATGACAAGCGTATCCTCAGCGGAGGTGTGGATAAAAAGATCTCAGAGTGGCCAACATCCGAGAACGTTTTGCCAGAGGATGGTTCAAAGGATGGCCTCATGAAGGAGCTGGCGACGCACCAGGTACGTTTGTTTTCATTTTCTCGCCCATTCATCATCTAAGCGTCTTTTTTATATCAAGGCTGAATCCTACTCTGAGTTCAAGGCACGTTCCCATCTTTGACTCTTCTTATAACGCAATGTGAACATGATTTACGCAGGTCGTCGCGATGAACTCGACAGTCCGCAACGCGTGCATAGCTAGGGACTGGTCTACCGCTATAAAGGTGCTAAATCTGGATATTGACTCGAATGCCAATTACACCGCATATGCCAATCGCGCATTTGTTATGGCGCGACAATGTCTCTGGGACAGAGCGCTTCAAGATGCAATTCGGGTGAGATTGACTGACCCATTTTGACCTCACAAAAGTTAACTTTGACGATGGCATAGTCTGTCAGCATTCAGCCATCGTTGGCAGGCCATATATCCAAGGGCATTGCTCTATGCGGGAAAAAGCAGGTTCTGGCTGCGAGGATATCATTTGACCTCGCATCCATGTTTACGAGTGATTTAAAGACCGATCACTTCCTGTTTTTGATCAAGGCAGGTAATATTCTTCTCACATACTGCGTGCTTCACTGCGGTTTTTAGACCATTGCGTTGTTCAATGCAAATGAACATCAAGAGGCAATGCTTCGCATCCGAGAGCTGACTGCGTCTCCCGATGTCGATCCTGTTGCTTGCCGCATAGTGGAAGTGAGTACCATTCGTTCGCTCATGCCAGATTCATGCGTCATTATTGATTCCTGTCCTTCGTACACCAGGCCTACCTACGTGTCCAAATGGGAAATATTGCTTTGCAGGGCGCGCGTTACAATGAAGCTGTTGAACACTTCACTGCCGCTGCCAATGCGAGCACTTTCTTTTACAAATCGCCAATTCATTTGACGTACGATGAATTTGTCGTGGTACGTTGATATGACTCAACCGAAAATTCTTTCGTGCTCAACTGCGTGTCTTCCACAGATCTTTGGCTGGGACCTCAAGTCCTTGTGGAAAACTGCGAACCAGCAACAGTGTTTTGCGCTCTTTCGAGCAGGTAGTTTTGGAGCAGCCATCGAATCGTATCAGTCCATGATGGACAAGATTGATGAGGATATGAAGGTCGAGTTGTGTGCTTGGTTCACTGGTAAGTATTCGGTAACGTCTTATCGTCTATGATAATCATCAACTGCACTTCACTCAGCTCTCCAGTAAGATCGATACGCGGTCGATGCTTCCCACGGAGATGGTGCGCTCGTAACGAGCGGTTACTCGCATAGTTGGAAACACAGATATTCAAGTAGTTTCATTTGTGTCTCGACGGTAGCTGTATTGCTCAAATAACCCTTGGTGCTCGTGTCACATGATGGATTCACAGCATCGTGTACGTATGAGTTGCCGTAGCCCAAGTCTCTTGCCATATAATGTGGCATTTGGCACATCACAAGCTCAGTGATGCCTTCGTCGAATAAACAGTTTGGGGTACCCAATTCTACTTTCCATGAAGACTTATATTAAGTACGAGCCTCAGAATTCAGTAGTGCTAATAACTTGTGCCTAAGCAAGTAAATTTGATGGACATGAGGCAGCGGATGGCTGTGCAATGCACAGGCCCGGGTGCCATGCCAAAGGACCGTGTTGGGAAGTTCAAAAAGTTGCGGGCACATTCTGTCAATCAGTCAATTTGCTCGCTCTTCTCCCAAGTTACTAGCGTATACGAGGTAACACCAAACTAATCTGGACTGTCAGTGTTGATGAGTTGACGATCAGCTTCAGCAGGCAAAGTGTACCATCACCTTCGAACGAGTTAGTAGGCATCCTTCGAAATCACTATCCATATCAGGCCACAGGATACGAAAGCCTCCCCGACGGTCCTTCGAATACTTCTTACCCATATTCCTTTACTATGTTCTCTGGCAGATCGGTCACGGCTTCGGGATCGTCACGGCCTGTTGTGCCAGTAAAAGGATGGATTCTAGCACCCGTTTTGGACATAAGCGGCCACGAAGACCGTGACGATACTCCATCCATATCCTACTTTCCGGACGGGAAACGGATAGTCAGCGGGTCACGCGATAGGACCATCCGTGAATGGGACATAGAACAAGGCAGGGAAATCAAGCGGGCGCGGGATGTTTGTGAGCGACAGGTATATACTGTGAGGGTATCAAGGGATGGTCGATGGGTTGTCTCTGCAGGTGGGAATTTCATGATCAGCGGGGAACTCAAAGTCCGTGAGGTTGAGACGGGGACCGTGAGAACATTCGAAGGCCACCGACTAGTACTGACAAGTATCAACTGCATCGATATATCTGGGGACAGCACACTACTGGCGAGTGGGTCATCGGATGGTACAATACGGATATGGAGCTTGGAAACATGCAATCTCGTGGCTGGTCCGTTCAGAAGTCTCAACTGGGTGGTGGGCGCAGTCCGATTCTCGCAAGACTCAAAAAAGCTCACGCTCAAGTCAAATGGAGGGAGGTGCCTCGAAGTGTGGGATATCCAATCCCAGAAATTGCTTGTTTACAGAGAAGGTTACTGGGAGCCGGGAGATGTCCCAGCGTTTTGGACTACGAAAGACACAGACATCGTAACCGCATTCAGCTTTGAAGTTGGCGCCCAAATTAAGACGATCTATGCATTTGACGCGTCTACACTGGAGACCACCGGGGCCCCTTTTGCAGGACACACCAAAATCATCACCAGTATAGCACTTTCACTCGATTGTGCTCTCCTCGCCAGTGCTGCTCGGGACAACACCATCAATTTCTGGGCCTTTGAGTCCCGCCAGCTCCTCGCCTCATTTGACAGTGGTTCTACCATTTGCCAACTTATTCTCTCACCCAACTTGTGTCAACTAGTTTGCACGACTGAGAACGACAACAGTATCTACCTATACGACACTCCCCCTGAGATCCTCGCTTGCATCCAGCCAGTACCACAAGATAGAGTGCGCAGACTACCCCGAATAGTACTATTGTTTACGTGCTTACATTTTCTTGCAGACCATTTCCTCTAGAAGCCTATTCCTCACTGATGTACTCATCCCTCCCTTTTCGTTTATACCACTCCATTAACCCCCTTTTTGCAGTCTGGCACGCTCTCTCTCGCCGCGAATCGATCTACTAGCGAGGCCCCACCAAATGCGCAAGAGAGCCTCCCTCCCTACTCTCTACCACCACCTCCCTCTATCAGTTTCGCCCGTCATCGACCAGGGTCCGAATCCTGGATTGACAGACACGCCGAAACCTCTCGCATACAACCTACAGACATGCCACCATCTACTGACATGCGGCAGTGGCCTCCTGACATGCAATCATCGCCTGATAAGATGTTGGGGCAACATCATGAATTAGGATCCCAACCACCGCACCAGGACACACTACACTTCAACGGAGTTCTTCCCCCTCCACCCCAGATACCCTCTTCTATAGTAGGCTCAAGGCTACCCCAGCTACCTCCCGACTCTCGCGAGCTCCTTCCCTCCTCTTCCCATACGAATACAGCCTTCCCCGCTCGTAATGAACAGCCTCACGATCTCCCCCTCGAAGCGATGCTCCAAAACCTCACGGGATATGTCGCAAAGGACGAAGAATATCCTGTTGCTCGTGGCGGGTTTGGGGAGATCTGGAAATGCACCTGCCACATGAATCGTAGATTAATCAAAGTTTGTTCACTGTCTTTTGTCTGTCCATCTATCTAAATTAATAATCTGGTAGGTCGCAGTGAAGGCATTACAAGTGTACGCCGTCGATCAACTTGGTGCCGCAAAGACGAAGAAGATCAGGGTGAGTTTCTTGACAAAACAATGTGTCTTTTCCTTATGAGCTGCGACTTCGTAGAGGATAATGCGCGAACTCAGAATATGCGCTAACCTCAACCATCCAAATATTCTACCTGTTTATGGTTATACGTATGGGTTTGGCCCATTTATAGCGATAGTCAGTCCTTGGGCGGAGAATGGCAACCTATCAGACTATCTGCAGATCGAGGGCGCGGCTCTTACTCTCGTTAGAAGATTCCAGATCGTGAGTATCTCCTCACACTTTATGCAGACCACATATCGATGGCAATCTCAGCTCAGAGATATTATAGCTGGTCTGCAATATCGTACGTGTTAGTTATTCTCGGTCCTTGACCTGGAGTAGTGATATTGTTCACAGTTCATGCAAACAGTGTCGTCCATGGCGACTTTACTGGGGTAAGTTCAACCCGTTTTCGTTAATTTTGATTTGATCGAGATGTGAGTTCTAGCCTAACGTGCTGATTAATGGTGATGGCACTGCGTGTGTAGCTGACTTTGGTCTTTCCTTGATGTATTCCGAAGTTATAAGTGCTTCTCAGGCTTCTTGGACGTCCACGCTGAAAGGAAACATGCGATGGATGGCTCCTGAGCTGCTCGAAGAGCAGGAGGATGGATCTCAAGTCCGGCCAAGCGAGCAGAGCGACATGTATTCATTTGGCGGTATCATGCTGCAGGTACGTCTGGTTCATTTTTTGGCCTCTAATTCGTATCACGGCCTCCACTCGTAGGTCCTCACCAACAAAGCACCCTATTATCACCTTACGAATGACGCTGCCATCATTCTCTGCATAGCCAAGTCGCAAACGCCTTCCCGATCTCGTTATCCCGAGCTCCCTGAACGATACTGGCAGTTCATTGAGAAATGCTGGTCTACCGATCCTCGGGACCGCCCATCGACGGAGGGAGCTGATGTGATGATCAGGAATGAATATTACTCGCTGTCGAGATCTCGTTGATTCTTTAATTCCATTCAACAGTCTGTTTGCAGTACAACTAACGAAACGAGGCAGAGTAACATGGTACTATTACCTGTACTGTAAACGTAGGCTTGCTCCCAAACATCTCCTGCAACATGATATGAGAATGCTGTGTGTACATCGTGTCCAACGTGTCCAATGCAGTGTCTGTGATTTGTTTGAGCATGCCCCAATTCCCGCCAAACACCACATCAAAAGATGGACATCTCAAGTCGGGTTTCCGAGCCGATATCTTATAGCTAAATAGTGTGACAATGCTACTTCCGCTATAGTAGAGTGAGGTTACACACTGCAAGTCGATGGATGGCTCCTGACGTGCTTCCGCGCTACCGTGACCTCCGGTCGTTGCACAGAGAAATTGTATTTATTCCAAAAACAAGTGCCTGTACGCTATATTGGCACTATATCGTTCTTCGTTTGTCCACGTCATAAATTTTCTCGCTCTCTGCTTGAAATGTTGCTTCGTTGCGTCATGAGTGTAGTTCTTCATTACATACTTTGAAAGATCGTCGTGCAGTAGGTAGTCAATAGTCTGATATATGCTTGCTACAGCGAGAGCATAACAGCGTAGTACTCTGCATGCGGAAGACCATACAGGGTCGCGATTGCTTCATGACAAATCGAGGTGCCACCCTATTCAGACTCGTAAGGAAGTCGACCTGCGAAATTGCTGATTTAGTGAACCGCACTGATTGCAAGGACTCGTCCATTTGTTTTTGATGTGTCGAATGGAAGAACTTGTGCCTAAGCAAGTCCATATCAGGCCACAGGATACGAGAAAGCCTCACCGACGGTCCCTCGAATACTTCTTACCCATATTACTTTGCTATGCTCTCTGGTAGACCGGCTTCGAGATCCTCATGGCCCGTTGTGCCAGTAAAAGAATTAACTCTGAGTCTCTGACACCCATGTCGACCTTAGGGGGCCACAGAGACACTGTTTCAGCCATATCCTACTTTCCGGACGGGAAGCGAAAATAATGAGCAGGTCAAACGATAAGACCACTCGTGAATGGGACCTAAAAGCGGGCAAGGAAGTCGAGGAGGCGTGGGATATTTGTGAGCAGGAGGCACATGCTGTGGTTGTATTACCGTATCGAGGGATGGTTGATGGGTTGTTTGAGGTCTCTGCAGGTGGGGACTTCAACATCGAGGAGCTCAAAGTCTGCGAGGTTGTTGAGACGGGGACTGTGAGAGCATTTGAAGGTCATTCAATTGCATCGATATCTCCGGAGACAGCATACTATTGGCGAGCGGGTCATTGGATGGTACAACACGGATATGGAGCTTGGAAACAAGCAAGCTCGTGGTAACCTGGCCTGTTCAACTGGGTGAGCGCAGTTCGATTCTCGCAAGACTCAAAGAAGGTCGCAGTCATATCATCTTGGGGGAATTACCTTGAAGTGTGGGATGTCCGATCACAGAAATTAGATGTTCACACGGGGAACCTCGGAGGACCTTAGCCGTTATGACACGCATGTTTTGGACTAGCAAAGACAAAACCGTAATTCAGCTCAACGCGGACACCTCAATCAAGACAGTTTATGAATTCGACGTACCTACTCTGGAGACTATTGGAGCCCCCTTCGAAGGACACACCCAGGCCATCACTGGTCTAGCACTTTCACTCGATGATTCGCAGCTGAGCTGGGATGAATAGAAAATACCTATTCGACTATCGATGATCGTTAATCAGAGTTTGGAACGATTCAATGCTAATTTGCAAATCACACATCCATGATGCTGACAACCCCAACAACCAGAGATCCGCACAACCGTAGGATCTCCACTACGAACGTTCCACGGAGTGAGTTGGGTGAACCATGTGTGTCTTCTTCCTATCTGCCGCATGGACCCCTGAAACAATTACGGTCAGGCTCATTGACTTATGTAGAAAATTGGAGGACATCCGGGAAATGGAATTTTCCGGGTCCGTCCGGCTGGGTCCGCCCGAGTGCGGATCCGTCCGGTTCACGACATGATGCGCCATTGGTTATCTTTATGCTTTATCTCTTGCTTTCAACCAACCACTGCCGCCAGCACGCCTTTGCACGTCCGCCCGGTATGTGTTCTCTCAATCTCTATGCTACCTGTAAGTTTCTAATACGACCTGTATTTCCTGAGTACTAACTACTACATTCCACAGCATGTCATTCATTTCTCAATGTTTATGTGATCCTCAAGCTACTAGATAACGTTGGTAAGTTTATTTTTGTGCCCGCCAGATGAATATGGCTGATATCCTCCGATCACCAGGTTTCTTGACAACCATGAATACCCCATCCACCTCGCGGGGTGCACCATCATGGCAGGCTGTCCTCGATGCTCGACTGGCTCAACCCCAACCTGATTTCATCCACTCATGCACCAACTGCAAAGAGGAGGTTCCTTGGCGACGGTGCAAGTCAAACGAGAATGGAAATGAGGGCCGTTGGGTGGCAGTGGTAAGTGCTATCTTTCCCAGACTCGTTCGCTGCTGAATTTCAACTGACTCCAATCACTCAAGTGCAAGAAATTTGCTGGCGAGCAGCAAGTGCCATGCAATTTCTTTCGCTGGGCACGGGGCTCAACCAGTCCCTCCAGCTCCCCCACTTTGGCCGCAGCTCAATTAGCCCCAACCACTATCGTCCAGCCAGCTCAGCTAGTCCCAACCGCTGTCGTCCAGCCTGCTGCCTTGAGCAATGCCACATTGCTCCTTATGTGTGCTGCCCTGGTCTGCAAGAAGCGCCCCCATGCACATTGTGAGAACGCTGCATGCCGAACACATTGCAGCCTGTTGGGTGGTTGTTCCGTCAAAGGACATACCTCCGCTGTTGTGTTGGATCTATCATTGGCGCTTCGAACACCTCATCAGCCTCAAGCATGTCCACCTATGCCTCCACCCCCACCTTCGCAGCCAGCATTGATTCTTGATGCTGCACCCTCTGACTTGGACGTCCGTCTGTCCCCACCCTTGGCCTCTTTATCGGAAGTTCCTGAGCCTCCTGCACAAGTCCAGAAGGGCAAGGGTCGTGCTGTTGAGCTTCCAGATGCTAGTGAACCTGTGCAGCTTCCTTCACGCATGGTTGCTGGCCCATCACAACCCAAAGCCTGAGCAGCACCACGCTATGCAATGCAGATGCCTGCCATCTTTACGCAGCAAAATGCTCGTGAAGAGGAAATGAATGAAGAAAGGCGCCAATGTGAACTTGAATGTCTTCAGGCTGTGGCTCGGGAGAAGAACACTGTTGTGGTGTATGCATGGACTCAGAATGGTGTTGAGCCCATAATTTACGAATTTCAAGACGGCTTCAAACTACCCAACTTCTACTTCACACTCTCGGTCCTCCAAAAATTATGCATGACCTCTGAGGTCCCCGATATTCCTGCTCCTGCAAGGATTGCTCCTATCCAGCGGTACAACCGTGCCCTCGACACATGGACATGGTTTGATGTGGGCCACATGGTCACTCTGCATGAGCGCGATGCTGGCATCCTCTTTGTGAGGGATGCACGTGTCAGGGAGTGTGTAGACTTTGACCGGCACCTTCACACACTGACACGCCCAGTAAGCGCTAACCTCATGACAGACCTGACGAGCAAACGGAAGTATGTGCGTGCTGCATCTCTTGCACGGAGCTCACGTACACCATCTCTACCTCCTACCAATCCTGTGCCACATACTCGCAAACCTCGCTCTGGTATGCCCTCACTGTCGCCAGTCGCATCAGACAATGAGCATGAAGTGCCTAATGACTCGCCAGCTCAACCAATCAAGCGGCGCTCATTCAAACCACCAATCAAGCGGCGCTTTTCATCTATCTTGTCATTGACAGATAGTGATGGGGATGACACGACAAAATCTGTCCACACAACCAAGCGGCACCATTCTCCACTTCCTCAGGCTCCCCGCTGTGTTTTACCATGCCGCAAACAACGCCCTTTTGCCGACTCATTTGATCTTTCTGATGCCTCCGACTCTCATTCGCTCTCATCATCTATCTCGTCAATGCACTCAACACCGATCGTGAAGAAGGAGGATTCGGGAAGTCTTCTTTCACGCGGATCATCAAGCCATGATGCCATTGTCGTCGAAAAAGTCGCAATCTGGCCCGTTGACTTTTATGTGGTTGACATTTCTCGTGGTTTCAATGCTTGTCAAAGGGCGGTTGATGGACGACGCAGTGTGGCAGATGCATTTGTCGGCCACTTTGGTGTACCATTCAAGGCATCAACGTTTTATGACAACCGCAAGGTGTGGGACTTCAAGCCCAACACATCGCTTCGCCAACGCTACATTGATTATGGTCGAACAGAGAAAGGAAGCTGGACTTCCTTCATGAAGAAGGCGAAACGGCCGCACAAGTAGGTGCACACAACTCTGATTGTTAAGACTTCATTCTTTAGTTTTGTTCGCATTGCCCACAGTCTACACTTGTGTCCATTTAGTTCCTGTAGTTTTGTTTCTCATAATTAACGTTCACCATCTTCCGAGCCTCTGATGTGTGGCCGAGGACCGAGTAAAGTGGTCGTGCAGACTAAACGTGTCTATGGGCGTGCGTTTATGACCTCGGGATATCCTCAATCTCCTCTTGTCCCGTGAGCGCGTATTCTCCTTCAGAAATCCTACCAAACATAAAATAAGCACGCATTGGTGGACGAATCGACGTAGCACTTACATTCACCACAGACGACGCGCCAGCACATGATTGACTTGCTGCAGGTGGGGATATATCTGCCAGACAACGATCAGTAGCTAGAAATGAAATTCGACATCTCATTTACTCATTCCTAAGATAGACAAGATTAGTTTGAGATACGCATAAGATAGAAACACTGATGGCACCAAGTTTTTTTGCACGCGTTGAGCAAAGTGTTGACGAAGCGACTGATTGTTTGGTCATTAACCCTTGAGTAATTGAGAATCCCCCAGGACGATAGACTCTTCAGCTCGTGGAAAATCTGGTCGATGACGTTCCAAGAACCATTTCGTGGTTGCTGTAGGTCAAGAATCAGATCATTGCGCCCCATGCATGCTGACATCCTGGACTTACCACCGGTCTACTAGCGGCAGCATTACCATAATGAATTTCACGTCCAGTGACTAAGATAGGGTCAGGAGATACAGTGATCCCCGCATCTTGCAAGAAAGGAGAATTCTGATAATCCAGGGTCTGTGTGTATCCATCCATCCAGCCGCTGTATCCACAAACTCATCTTCCGCTTCTTCATCTTCTCTATCAGACACGTTCCCTCCTACTTCCAGTGCGTTCCCATCGGTACCCTCCGCTCTCGCTGAGTATTGCCCAGTCTGCTCTGGTGCTGTGGAATTGGGAGGAAGGATGCTTCTCGGTGGCTCCTGAGCGTTCCAGTGGTCTGCGACGTCTCCTGGAGTCCTGTGCAGTTGCTACGTTGATATCAAGTTTACTGGCTTTCGGTGGGGTGCATACGTCGGTGTCATATCCAAACCTAAGCTGAGCCAGAGTGGGATTGCTATATCGTATTCTTGTGAGTTGATGGATGTAGTAGAACTAACAGGAACACACGAGCACAATACAGTGTTGATGACATATAGTTCGACTTGGTGGAGGTTGTTGTGTGAGGTGACAGGTTGAGTAGTACTGTCTGGTGCTAGATGATGGCGAAGGCGAAGGCGTAGGGCAGCATGAAACACCCGGAGATGCAGAGGGTGTTGAAGCACTTGGAGGCTATATCGACCAAACCCTTCGCGCTCGTATGCTGAACCAAGTATTTAGAGGTTCCTTACGTGTTGCCACCCGTTCGCTTCCAGGACCCAAAGCCACTACCTCCTAATTATCGATATGAAGACAAGGACTACATTTATGAGACCAAGCGTATGTCAAATCATCAAACTCTCGTAAATCATTGTCACAAGACGGAATTCCCTTAGACTGTGTTCAGCCTTCGAATGATGGACAGGGTGCAGCGACAGCACCAGCTGATCGCAAGGGCTACGGAGAGCCGTCAGAGGACCCGTAAGCGATTCAGGATATTTTTTCCAGCTCTAAATCTGATACTTTCATTCTTCAGCCTCTTTGTCAATATTGCGTGCCATTCATCATCGAAACCTGGGGCGAATCTTCCTGTCAAGGTTTACATTCACGGAGGGTCCGTTGTGCATAGAACTATAACTTTCGGGGACTCATTGTCGCAGATTTCTTCAGTTTGGTTCGCCCCATGGCTTGAGCTCCCAGTCACAATATGTGGCCGAGTCAAGGAAGGAAATTCATATCAACATCGGCTATAGGCTCTCGGTGCTTGGTTTCCTTGCGTGCGACGAGCCCAAGATAGACGGAAACTTTGGCTTCAAAGATCAATGGTTAGCGCTTCTGTGGATTTCGGAGAACATTGCATCATTTGGAGGTAAGCTTGAACGCACGCCATGTCAGAGTTAGTCGATATCCTGACATCATGTGTAGGTGACCCGAGCAATATTCAACTTTCTGGGCTGTCTGCTGGTAAGTGAAAGCTTCCTTTGAACTCACATCATTGCTAACGAGCAATAGGTGCCCATGCCGTACACCAAATCTTGCACCACCTTTCACACCTGCCACCAGGGCAGAACTCCCCGTTCCGTTCCGCCCATTTGCAATCAAACACAATAATGTAAGTCACTTTTATCACTTGCCGTTAACTCACTCATTGCCTGCAGGACTATCCCTAAAACCCCGTTGGAGCTGAGGCAATCCTTCCAAGCCCTTTGCCGCGCCCTCAATCTCGATCCTAATGCCCCTGACGTGTTGGAGACCCTGAGAGACCCTGCCAAAGTTCCTATCAAAGCTATGATGAAGGTAATAGAGACAGACGAAGTCGGTGTGGAGCACGGCACGTACCGGGGATGTTTTGATGGCAATTGGATCCCTACCACACCCGATCCAATGACCTGGCAACGGTCGGGAGGCCTTGCTCGTGCTCTACGCGAGAAAGGAGTCAAGAGCATTTCTATTGGCGATCTGAGCGAGGAGTGGTACCTTTACGCGATCGCGCACCCGGTTCAAGGTCCACAGGATGTGTTCCCTAACATCTTGCGGTACTTCCCACGCCCCGTCGTTGAGAAGCTTGTGAAGAAGTATCGGACGCTCCCAAGTACAGCAACTGTCGAAGAATCGATGAGGCAGATGGGTGATATTCTAAGTGATGGACAAGTGCACATCCCCGTGAGGATGTTTGCAAGAGATTTCCAACAGGCGGGGTTCCCAATTCTCAGATATACGATTCGCTGGACTCCAGAACAACTGCGTCCAAAAGGTATATCAGTATCCATAGAGTTGTGAGATGATTACTGAAGCTCATGCAACAGGGTGGGTCACGCATGCAACTGACCGCTGCTTCTGGGCTCTCCGTATCCCGAGCATGAATTATCCACAGATGAAGAAGGCGATCCAGGCAGATCTGCATGTTCTGCACTATAAGATTTGATGTGAGAGTACCATCTGGCAGAGTGCGGGTATTTCGATGGCTCTGGTGCCATGAGCAAGTTGTAAACGTGGACGTCTGCCTGAGAGGGTGTTATTGCGAACTAAAGGTCGTGGCTCGCGTCCTGCTAAACCTATGAAGCATGATGTCGGTGATGCAGAGCAACGGATGCAAGATAATATAGCCTTGGGTATTCATGGTTACTGACTACTCAAATACCTGCTGACATGGCCATATGCGTGGGTTGTGTCCATCCTTGCCCAGCTTCTCCTCTGTCCGATGATTCCTCCGTAAGATCAACTCATCACAAAAGAAGTTGAATTTGTGAGCTAGCATTTCATGAGCGATGGGGTGATACTTGCCGAACCAATTGTTTGTTTGTTCTGCCACGGAGGAATTGAACCGCCAACCCTTCCCATCATCGCTATGGAGCTCAGGGAATGCTTCTGGGTTGCAATTCTCCTGGCAGAATGTGTCGGTCTGTGAATGCTTGCATTTGAAATGAAAAACGTCGACGGACAAGCCAATGTTGTCAAAGAAAGGATCGCCCATCGCAAGTTTTGCAAGGGTGCAGTTGTTGTCGAAGAATATGTGATTGGGCTTGACAGCGTCTTCGCCTGCATAGACTTCTTTGATGAATTGCTGCAGATAATCATGAGTTGAGGAAATGGTCATGGAATGATGATACATACCTTGACACTGGCTACTCCCTCCGCTCCAAAGAAAGTCCTTTGAGCAATAATCATACCGCATGGAGCAACAATCAACTGCTCGTTGTGTGTGCGCCGGCGGCCAAAGACTGCCCTGAACTTCTTCCTTCCAGGTCTGTCCTGGGATGAACTGGTAGCAGGAAGTGCTCTCCTGGTATTCTCATTGAACTCATACTCTTCTTCGTCTGGTGGATCATCTGTGAGAGATGTGTTGGTGGCAATGGTAGTTCTGGCACGAGCAAGGCGCTCCTGGAGCTGGAATCTGGATTGACCACGCAGCTCGTGAGTATCCTCGACTTGACGATGTTCCAGTGTTGAGCAAGTGCGTCGGCCACGTACAATGGGCAGGTCACAGCCGATAATCATGCACTTGTCATTTTGACCAGAGTGTAGATGACAAAAGTGATGGTGGTTGTTAGACAGCGGGGTGTGGCAGTTATAAACCGCGCAGCATGGATGGCCGACAGTGACACCATCGACGACGACAGCGGACACTTTATGCGTGACTGTATATATCTTACGACTTAGCCCCGCATAGCCTCAAAACTATTACACTCACCGACACCTTGCTCATCTTCATACATGCTTGTGCATCTATTGCAGTAGTGGCGACGGACTTGCTCATAGCCATAAAGCTGAATGCGGCGGTTCCTTGCGATCATGGCCTCCGTGAATCGGTCTCGCTGTTCACCAGTGTGGGGAGCAATGAGGGTGTTCATGCGACGCTCGCAGTCCTCCAGCAGTGAAGTTATTACATAACCATCCCAAACATGCTCGACAGAAAGCTCAAACTTGACTTTAAAGTCTGCAGGTGTCTGCTTACCATGTGAGAGGCAAAGGTTATACAACTTTGCACAGTTCATAGCTGAAGTCCTGGGTGCAACCAAGTTTCATAGTCAGATGGGAGAGATCAAGAGCATAGCATATAGCGCACCATGAGAAATCCATTGCAGTCCTAAAGAGCTCAATTACACTCTTCTCGATGAACACATGATCCACAGCCTGAACACTATCTGGTTGGTGCTCGTAATAGGTGTGCTCTCCTTTAAACACACTGTAATTATGGTGGTAATCAATTCCACAAGCTAGTTGACCTTGTCAATGACAAAAATAATGACTCAAAGCAAGAGTGCGGAGTGCAAGTGCTTACTTTGACAGTAGAGATGGACGGATTTTGCAATGCATGGGCCTTTCGTCAGCGTGAACAACACCACATAGGTTTGAGCAGCCTTCTTGAGAGTCATGCCCTTTGCGCGACGTTGGCAGTCGGGATGAAGGCATGAGTGGCTAGGAGGATAGAGCAGATGCTCAGCTGGGGCCATTCTATCGTTAGATAAAGAAACAGAGGTGACAACACAATCAAATGAACTTACCTAGACCCCTTTGAGTGCCATGTGTCTCCCATAGCCGTCCCACATCAACAGTGATCCCTCCACTCCAAATGACATCCTTGAGGAGGGACCATGCATCATTGACTTCAGCTGGAGAGATTGAACAGCCTGCACTAAGAAACACAGTGACTGCAGGTGATAGAACAAATGGTGGATCTGAAGTTGGACTCAAGGAAGGCTCCACAAGGATGATGTCGTTTTTAAGCTGGGTTGCAAGAGTGATGAACTGGAAAAGAGAAGTGAGTGAGGTGTGACTGATTGTGCCTGGCTCTTGTTCAAGATGGCGCAGCAAGTGATTAAACGCTGTCATGTTGTTCTACTGTTGCCACCAATGCGAATCAAATTTGATTTGAAAGTAAAAGCTCAATAATTATGATTGTACAGAACACCAACTGAGTGACGCAGGTGGACCCGGACGGACCCAGCCGGACGGTCCCGGAGTCTGCCAATTCCCTGATATTCTGGAAAATTGCGGTGACACAATTTGGACATACGAGCCCATTCGTTTATATTTGCAAACAAAGTTTATATTCTACGTAAGTTCGAGGAATGAGAACGTGCGTAGAATGAGGTCTACGCGGCGGCACTGCTTTTCGTGACTCATCTTTTCTTCTTTCGTACTACCACCTAGTACGACTCGCAGTCTATCTACTATTCGACTTCACCTTTATTTCATCGCTTTTATTTAGCACTTTAGCATTTATATCATGCCAAGGATTATCAACGACCCAAACTTAAACATTTGCCCGGACTATGCCTCACCGCACTATGCTAACGCACAAGCGCAACTGGTAAACGACAATGTAACCGAGGAGCAGTCCATACAGCTCCTCAGGACCATCTGGCGCGCAGCCAACAACGCAGACATTGACCTTTGGGAAGGTCAGGTAGAGGTCGAAAGAGAGCAACGCGAGAACTTACGTCGGATACAAGAGGAGGAGCAAGACAGAATAGAGCAGGAGCGCATCGACGAGGAAGAGTCAGCACGGAAAGAAGAGAAAAAGAAGCACAAGCATAAGTTTATGCCAATCCCGGAAGACACTGGCGTTCCAGACGAACCCTCCATAATTCCCTCCTCCTACGCGATTCGCAAGCTCAACAAAGGCGAGTACCTCAAACTGTGGTATTTCACTAACGATGGTCTAGACGAGGCACACTCCAAAAAGACCATCGACGATGATGCCATGGTCATGTCCACCCTCCCAGATGGATCCACAGCCTGGGTGTCGGCAACAGCAGCACGCAACGCCTCGTCCGTCGTAGACGATGAGAACCTCTCCTTCGAGGAATTTTGCATAGCCTACCCAAGGTTCATAGCGGCCATCGAAGAGGCCGACTGGCCACAAGACCGAGTTCGCATGATGGCCTTTTTCTGGAAGAATATACAGATCCACCCTTATCGTTCCATGCGGGACCCGCTTGCCCAGAAGGCTTTACTAGTTTATCAAGCCGAGCAACGCAAACGTTGGCACGTTGTCGCGAAATCGGCAGCGGGTCCATACAATCTGTCCACCATCAATCAGAAGGTGTTAGACGCAACGAGGGAGAGAGTATACTGGCTAGAGCGTACCAAAAAAGACAACCAACGAGATTATAAGGTTAGCAAACTTTCCATTGCGAAATTTCGAACCATTACTAAATGCTTCTCTCGCACCCAATTTTCTTCTTAAAAATTTGCTACATCACTACACCGCTTCGCTTCATGCCACATGCCACATGCTTCATGCCTCACCCTGTAATCAACACCTCTCATTGTCGCATCACTCGATGCATGGTGGCAAATTGCTTCACTCTTGCGCGTAACCATCGCATGCTTCCGCTTCGTCTCGAATGACAGGCTGATCAACACCTCACGGTCTCAACTGGCTCCTCGTCGAATCATCAACGAAATTATCAGCGAGACTCCAGGGAATCGCGGAAGCGTTCACCGTCGCTTGAGCAGGGAGGAAGACAAAAGAGGAACCGGCAGGATTTTCGAGCGGGCGCAAGCGGAAATGCCCTTTCCGCTTGCGCCGTCTGTCTTGGGCAAAACCCGCATCGAATCATCGAATGCAAGGCCACAAAGACGTGGGACAGTGCTTTCGATACCCTATGCACACGCCTCGGAAAGATTCTCACCATGCGAGACACGCGGCCCATATGCAGCGACTGGCAGCGTGTCTCAGGCTGCAGCGACACTTCCCACGATCGGCGACACTTCTGTTCAGGTTGCGCAGCGTCCACTCATGGAGCTCAAAGCTGCCCTCGAGCACAGAAGGCATAAGGCCATTTCCCCTTACAAAGTCGATGCTTGGAACGCTAAACTTGCAACATCCGGACTCATTAACAGATACCCACATGTACCTAATGGACTTCGTCGAGGCTTTCGCCTCGACATTCCGAACATTAAACTCACGCAAATCCCATACAACAAAGACTCCATTATTACATATGAACGAGAATTCTTATCAATCATCCAATCTGAGATCAGCAAGGGTAGATACATTGGGCCGCTCTCGGCCAATGAAGTCAAAGATCTTATTGGCCCCTTTCAGTCATCACCTTTCTCAATTATACCAAAACCCGGACGCCCCGGGCGTTTTCGCATCATTCAGAACTATTCTTTCCTGCACGATACATCGCAGAAGTTTCCTAACCCTTCTATTAATTCATATATCGATCTGGATAATTTTCCCAGTACCTGGGGTACATTTCATGTTCTCTCCCTCACTATCAGCTGTCTACCACCAGGTTTCCAACTGGCCACAAGAGACGTCGCAGAGGCGTATCGCACCATTCCCTTACACCCCTCTCAGTGGCCAGGTTCAGTGGTGCGCATATCCACATACTTCAGTCAATTTCCCATGTAGAACCAGTGCCCCGGATGTGCCAAAACCCTGTAGAATTATGGCCAGCCAGTCCCCGGCTGGTCTATGTAGAATACATGCTGGCCGGCCTTGTATAGTAGTAGTCCACATGTATAATACACTACCATACTATTGTAAAAGCATGACCAGCCAGTAGATGTAAGACAACTGCCGGCCGTAGGTATACCAATATCAAGGCTTGCTGGTGTATTAGGATGCTGACTGTTTCACATCTATATTTGTAACTGGCCAGCCTTTCTTCTACATAGGCAGACGTGGGGTGGCCCAATATGTGGGATTAAGATTATACTGGCCAACCATATCTCTACCTCAGTAGAAACCAGGCTGGCCAGTATGTAGGTCTTAATCTAGCAAACCGGCCGCCCTGCATCTACCTATGTATGGGTAAGGCTAGCCAGTTTGTATGTTTTGAACTAGCATACCAGCCATCATGCATCCACCTAGGTAGCCATCAGGCTGGCCAGTTTGTAAGTTTAAAACAACATTTCAGCCACCCTGCATATACCTACGTACAGGCAAGGCTGGCCAGTTTGTAAGCTTGAACTAGCATACCAGCTGCCCTACATATACTTGGGTAGCCATGAAGCTGGCCAGTTTGTAGGTATGAAACCAGCATACTGGCCATCCTGCATTTACTTTGTAGATATTCAACTAGCATACCGGCCGTCCTGCATTTACTTATGTAGGGGCCAGGCTGGCCTGTTTGCAGGTATTAAACTAGCATACCGGCCGTCCTGCATTTACCTATGTAGGAGCCAGGCTGGCCTGTTTGCAGGTATTAAACTAGCATACCGGCCGTCCTGCATTTACTTATGTAGGAGCCAGGCTGGCCTGTTTGCAGGTATTAAACTAGCATACCGGCCATCCTGCATTTACCTATGTAGGAGCCAGGCTGGCCTGTTTGCAGGTATTAAACTAGCATACCGGCCGTCCTGCATTTACTTATGTAGGAGCCAGGCTGGCCTGTTTGCAGGTATTAAACTAGCATACCGGCCGTCCTGCATTTACCTATGTAGGAGTCAGGCTAGCCAATATATATGTACATAGAGCAAGGAAAGCCAGTTTATACTCAAGTCATAACTTATCACCAGGCAGTACGAGAGTCTAGACAAGCATATGTAATTACTGTACAAGATTGACTAGCAATGAAGACAATGGAGGATACAAGATCATATCTTCTGGGATCTCTTAGAGGGTTGCCTCGCCCTACCTGATCTACGAACCACAGGCTCAGTCCTAGGCTTCTTGGACTTACTTGATGAAGCATGGTTAATTTTTCTCTTCCTCCCTTTCTGCACCACCTCTTCAACCTCCTGCTCCTGCTGTTCTTCTCCCCCAACTACATTCTCCTCTGACTCAACATCCTTCTCCTCAACCTCATGCCTTTCCTTCTCTACCACCATCCTCATCTCCTCATCCTCAACCTCATCACTGAGTCCCTCTTTGTTCAGCCTCTCAATCTGACCAACAACTGAGAATAAGACTTCCCGGACAGCCTCATCCAGAGCGACCAAGAACTGTAGATCAATAGCAGAATGAGGTAGGTAGAAAGGGGTATTGGGATCAGCCTCGTCTTCCTCATACTCTATCACACGCTTAGACTCCCTATAGAGGAGCCCAATTCCTAGTATTACTGGCATTGCCGATGATGGCCCTGAGATTGGACAGGTCTGTAGCTTGTTTAAGCTGGCCATCAATGTCACATATGAGGTGTGAATGTCCTCGGAAAGATAATTTTTGCTCCAAGACCAGTCAGCCCAGGTAGGCAAATCTTGGTGTCGCTCTGAAATTGGCTGTTGGACATATAAGCCATAAAATTGAAAACAGCACCAAGTGACACTAACATTCTGTTTGGCTAATATTGCCAGGTCCCTAGTGGCGTCCACAAGCTCCAAGTAGTTTTCATTCTTGCTAAGGGTTTCTAAAAATGTGTATCGGTCATTGATGGCAACATCATCTGGTGTTGTCTCATGAGCGGCCGGCTGTGTTGTACGTTCTGTGAAATGAGAGGCAAATGGAGCCGGCCGGCCTTGATCTTCTTCATCTAAGTCTAGGGTGCTCACTACTTTCGTCTTGGACTTCCCAGTGACCCGAATATCAGCATCCTTGGCCTTAATAAAGACAACTAGCTTCTGATTTGTAGCAGAACATCGTTCCCAATGCATCCATAGACGATTTACCTCCTCTGTCTTCATATGAGAAGGGTCTTTGACCACAAATCCTGTGGGAACTGAACCAGGTTCCAAATAATTGGACGGGCTGGCAGTTATCACGCCCCAAGGTACAGGTCTAGAGCCACCTGTGCAGACTTCTACAAACCATTGAGTCAATCAAATGTCATGCACATATTGAAGATGTTAGATCTTACTGTATGAAGTATGAAAGATACTTCTAATCAATTCGTGTTGGCCCTTGAGGCCAATACCATCACGAAGAGGAAGTTTTGCATACCCCTCATCATCTACTATGATTTCAGGTAAGACAGGTCCATCCTCACAGTCTGAAGCCGCATGGTCTGAATCCTCTGAAGGGTCTATCAATTTAATAGTCAGTGAGCATGATATTTAAAATCAAATGAAACACGTACAAAATTCAGTCTTAGACCATTCTCCAAAGGATTCAAATCCATTTGCAGCCCACTCCTTGATACCACTCGAGCTCACAGAAAATTTTTTCTTGGCATTCTGAGGCGTAGTTTCGTGTCTATAGTAGTTTAGTTAGTCTTGAGATTTCCATGTTGATTTGATGACTTACAGACTGACGGACAATGTCTGACTAGCTTTTTTCTTATGACTAACAAGCATTACTATGCGACAACCCATGGTGCGCCGAATTTGCTCTGCAAAATCTTCCAGAGTTTTCTTGAGGTTATTCTTACGATATCTCAAGCCAAAGTGTTAGACTGGAATAACTGTAGATTTGAAGTAAAACTTACATTGCCTGAGTTTCTTCTGGCGCCCCCTCCTCATTCCATTTCTTCATGGCAAACTTGACCTCCTGCTGTTGTGAAGGTGTCATGTTGTTGAACCACTCCCTGACATTCCCAGTGCGGTACTTGATTGAATACTCCAAGCCTTTACTCTGTTGTTGGGCCTTGTCATATGAGTCGATCTCCTGCTTAAATAATTTCTGTGCTACATCTCACTCAGACAGGGGTTTCTTATAGAAAGATGGTTCTCTTGGGCGACTCGCTGCCTCACATTTGTCTGCCTCTTCCTTGTCTTTGAGACTTTTGGCATAGTATTCTTTTATTGCCTGTAGGTAACATTTATGTATATCATCAGACAACTAAATACATGTACAGTATAAGAATTTTGTGACCTTTTTCAAGGAAGTAGGCAAGGCAATGGGTTCCTCTTGCTCGTCTTGAGCAGCTAGTATGGCCCTCCGAATCTTCCTCACCACAGGTTTTCCAACAGATGAGGAACCTGCAGCAAAAATGGCCTTAGAGTGAAGGTCGAGAATTGGCTTAAAGGCAATAGACCAGTCGGTAGACATCGTAATTGATTCAAGATAAAAATTGCAGGTATGTCTGTTCTATTTAGTATTCTGCTTATTGGAACTGGGGGTTGTGCAGTGCATGCCACTTGTCAGTGGCTCCTGCTTATAGGAACTGGGGGTTGCGCAGTGCATGCCACTTGTCAGTGGCTCCTGCTTCTTGAAATTGGCGGTAGCGCAGTGCATGCCACTTGTTAGTGGCTCCTGCTTATTGGGACTGGGGCTCAGCGCAGTGCATGCCACTTGTCAGTGGCTCCTGCTTCTTGGAATTGGCGGTAGTGCAGTGCATGCCACTTGTTAGTGGCTCCTGCTTATTGGGACTGGGGCTCAGCGCAGTGCATGCCACTTGTCAGTGGCTCCTGCTTCTTGGAATTGGCGGTATCGCAGTGCATGCCACTTGTCAGTGGCTCCTGCTCCGACTTTTTAATGGTGGTAAGCGCTCAATTCCTGATGACCTTAACTGATCTGTTTTGTTCTCTAGACTGCTGAACCTGCCGGTACTTTTGTGTGACAAGTGCTCTCTAGTTAAGTGTTAATCTTGTCTTAAATTTCGGTCTAACGTTTCTACAGGACAAATTTGTATTGTATTATATATATATTTGCTACATACATTTTCACCTGGAGTGTTGAGGCTTTGGTGAGGAGGGCCCCCTCATTGAAGTCTTGCCTCCCCTTTTGTATTTGTTACTTTATTTGTTTGCTTACTTGTAGTAAAATTTATTGTCACTCGTACTTTGTATTTGAAAATGTATGTTGATGGATGCACTTTATTTGCTGCCGGCTGAAAAGGTCACGTGACCGTGTGTATATTAGCAAAGAGCCTTATTAAGAAAGCAAGCGCAAAAGCACAGTAGTGTATAATAATCAAACGCTGCACAGACCAAAGCAACTATTATCTACTACATGTCTTAGATAGATAATGTGTTATGTAGATCTCAATTCTGCCTTGATGCGGCTCACCATTGACATGCTGAAGGACGCTATCATTGATTATTGTCTGCCAGTCAAAATATACTATTGGCATAGGCAGATGGTGGCAGAACACTAGGACAAGTAGCCATGACGCCATATGATACAAACTTCCCTTCCCGGTCAGAAGGTTGATTCTTCTTTGAAATTGCCTTCTGACCACAGAGGGGAGTCATCATATGGCGTCATTGTCACCATCTGCCTGGGCTGCTAGCATATTTTGGACTGACGGACATTCTCAATACCCTACAGGCCGCTTAGAGGCTAGCCCGCCCTCAAAACTGTTCGTGTTAAGAGTTCTGCCTCAGAGGTAATACTTAGTTAGCTACACCTATACTGTAGGGTATTGAGAATGTTTTCTTCGGTTAACAAAGAAAACATTTTCAATACCCTACAGTATAGGTGTAGCTAACTAAGTATTACCTCTAAGGCAAAACTCTTAACACGAACAGTTTTGAGGGCGGGCTAGCCAGTATATGCCTCAGAGGTATCTCCAAACTGTTCGTGTTAAGAGTTCTGCCTCAGAGGTAATACTTCGTTAGCTACACCTATACTGTAGGGTATTGAAAATGTTTTCTTTGTTAACCGAAGAAAACATTCTCAATACCCTGCAGTATAGGTGTAGCCAACTTACCTCTGAGGCAGAACTCTTAACACGAACAGTTTTGAGGGCGGGCTAGCCTCTAAGTGGCCTGCAGGGTTTCTCAATACCCTGCAGTATAGGTGTAGCTAACTTACCTCTGAGGCATATACTGTAGGGTATTGAAGATGTTTTCTTTGTTAACCGAAGAAAACATTCTCAATACCCTACAGGCCACTTAGAGGCTAGCCCGCCCTCAAAACTGTTCGTGTTAAGAGTTCTGCCTCAGAGGTAAGTTGGCTACACCTATACTGCAGGGTATTGAGAATGTTTTCTTCGGTTAACAAAGAAAACATTTTCAATACCCTACAGTATAGGTGTAGCTAACGAAGTATTACCTCTGAGGCAGAACTCTTAACACGAACAGTTTTGAGGGCGGGCTAGCCAGTATATGCCTCAGAGGTAACCTCAGAGGTATCTCCCCTCCATGGTCAGAAGGGAAGAGTCAGCCTTCTGATGGTGCAGGGCAGTTTGTATCATATGGCGTCATTGCTACTTGTCCTGGTATCCTCCGGATGCCAATTTACTATTATACACTACTGTTTTTGTGATTGCATTCTTAATAAGTGAGTCCTTGCTGTCTCTCAAGGCGTTGAACTCCAGCTGGAAGTGTCTCCTGTTATTTGAGACAGGGATCCCACAGTGTAGTCCCAGATTCAGAATATCATTCATTCTTCTGTGGTAGTCTGCCAATATTAGTCTTCACTCTTCCAGCATCTGAGCGAGTTATTACAGTACTAATTATGTCACAATCTGGGCAAGACTTCATTTAATCAGTCTTCCATCAGTAGATTCCATTCATATATCCAAATTTGATCGCGGGACAATTTTTTCGGAATCATTTCATATAAGTTAAATTGAGTCTTGATCCGAACAAGCTGGTTGAAAATTTTCCTTGCTCACCATGGACCAACAAATGAGTCAATCAATCAAGCTGAGAGCAGCTCTGACCACAAGGATCAAGGAAATTATGGGAAAATCATCAGCAACAGGGATCTTCAGAGGGGGGATATTGCAAACTCACCTTCTACACAAAGCAAGGTGAGAGGTTATATTTAGGGCCTTATTTGATCCGCTCTATTAAATGGTCTCACTTAAGATTAAGAATTGGACATGAGCTAGACAGTTGCTTAGCAACACGTGATGTCAACTTCCATGCTTCTGCGTCAATCTCAGAATATGAGATCAATCGAGCTGCACTGACAGTTGCCCATGCAATGGTAAATCCTTGTGAGTTGTTTCACTCTGCAAGATATCACCTGGTTTTAAATTCACATCATTTGCAGATTATGTGGATTGGGATGTTGACAGATTTGCCGAAATGGCCAAAGTCTCTACACCTAAATCTGATGGTCCCCTCGCTAATACCAATCAGCTACCAAAGTACTTTTCTGCAGCTATGATCGGTAAAATTTCAGCACCAGCTACTATTGTGGACAGGCAAGGTAAAATTTTAACAATTTACTTGCCAAATATTCTGTCTTCTTCTCGGGTTGTATGTTCATTCTTCCTTGGGAATTCCCCTCATCAATTGATAAATTAAATTAGGAATATGTGAACTCAGCCACTAAGGGTTTACGGACTTTACTTCTTGAAACAATTACGTCCTCCACCCAACAGTCTTGGCGATCTCAAGGCTTTGTTGTCCCAGAGGGGGGTGGAGAATTTGGAGCAGGCAGAGTCACAGTATCACCAGCATATTTTATGCAAAGACACGAGGTATAGGCCAAATTTAGTGGCTGTTTAGCTACTTTTGACTTTGTTTGATTTCATTTGCAGAGACTGGAAGACCCAATGGTTACCTCGGCTTCCTATAAGTCTGTGGAAGTCCAAGAGTGGCTAGCTGCTTTATCAGCTACTGAATCTTTCTGGAATGCCATTACCGCTGTATCGGCTCCAGATCTATTCGAAGCAGGCACCTTGGCAATCACTCGTATTATTGAGGAACTTCAAGGTTCTGATAGAACATCACCACCCATCTGTGATTGGCCCTCGATCTTCTCAGGATTGGAAATAATTGCAAATCGTACAACTTTATCACACAGAGATTCTGGTGGCGCACCTTCTCTTTTTGATCTTCTGATTAGTTTAGGCAGTGGCCATGAGGCTAAGTTGACATTAGCAGATGTTGGGGCCGAACTGGATTATTACCCTGGGACAATGGTCTTCATTTCCGGGAAGGTTTTACAACATTCTATTGGTCCATGGGGTCCGGGAGAAAGGCTCGTTATTGCCCATTTTATGAGGGATAAAATCCACTCTAGATGCGGGGTATCCAGACCCCCCTTTCCAACACAGGCCTATTTTTTGCAGATGGTGGGGCAGCAGGATAGTTATTTGTTGTGACAAGTAGATGATAAGAAAGGAGTGGTTCTTGGAGGAGGAGGGGTGGAATGGGACAAATCAAGTGTTTGACAGTATACCTACTAGATTAGTTGATGTGATCTAGTGATTCCTATGAATGGTTTCAACTATCAAAAATAGAATGTTGATAATATCAATTTTTCCCCCCACACGTAACCCTATGTCTCCCAAGAAAAAAACTCGACTCAAGGCAGCTACATTTTCCTTCCAAGGAAGAGGTCGTTTGTCTAAAGGCAAGGACCTTGATGTTGCCTATGTGTCTCATAAACAAGTCATTGGAAAGAGAAGGAAGCCAACCTGGGTGGAATCATGCGCTGATAGCCTTTATGACACTGCCCCAACACCATCTCCATCCTCCAGCCCTCGTAAACGTATTAGAGAAGACACTCAAGGGTTGCAAAACAGTCATGAAGATTTTGATAGACAAACCCTTGGTGACTTTGTTTCCTATGTAGAGAACTCACAAAGAAAAACCAAGGCAAGCATAGTGATTCAGTGTCTTTTAATGATGTACTAAATAGAGATTATTACGACCAGACACAAAATGACTTCATCCAAGAATATCTGCCTTTCCGAGACTTGTACTTGGATATTCTCCTTGACTTGGAGAAACCCTCCGATGTATCCCAGTGCCAGTCTTGTCAGATTGGTGAAGGGAAATTCCGCTGTTTGACTTGCAGTGGAGATCAGACATTCTGTCGTTCTTGCATTGTCAATGCTCACCAGTTTTTGCCCTTCCACAAGGTTCAAGAGTGGACTGGGAAATGCTTCAACGACACATCACTTGAAGAATTGGGTTTTATCTGGTATATGGGCCATGGGGGACAACCATGTCCATTTTCTGACGACATGCATACATGGGAGAATATTCCGATGGACGCAGAGGCCGATTTTTCACCAATGGAGACAGTTCATGGTTCAACTATACCAACCAAGTTGACCATTGTACATTCCACTGGAGTGTTTTTGCACAACGTTGTCTGGTGCAGCTGTCCTGGGGTCGATTGTCAGCAGCATTTGCAATTGCTGAAAGCTAAATTATTTCCAGCCAGTACCACTCGACCACAGACTGCCTTTACTTTTGATGTCCTCAATCATTTTCTAATTGATGCACTGGAGTGCAAGACTTCAGCATCCAGCTTCTTTGAAAAAATCCGTCGAATGACCAATAACTGTTTCCCAGATACTGTTCCTGTAAGTCTTATAAGTCTTCTTGGTGAAAGTTAAACTAACAGTACCAATTTGTTTTTCTAGAATCGATATCGAGAACTTATGAGAGTGTCTCGACTGTGGAGAGACTTGATGAGTCGAAAATGGTTTGGCTTTGCCCATAATGATGAGCAGAAACCGGACAAGGGTGATCTGGCTTGGTTTTGCCCTGCTTGTCCACAGCCTGGGATTAACCTACCTCCTGACTGGCAAGCCAGATATGAAAGGCAAGTCATTTATCCATCTCATTCTAAGGAGAGGCGACTCAATTTCTCTACCACACTTGAGAATATCATACTCACTGGCTAGCCCTACACTGCATAGTGTACGAGAGCTCCGGCCGGACTGACTTATGTTCTAATCAAGCTGGCCAGCATGGCATAGACTGGATGTAAAACCAGGCCGGCCGGCACATTAAATTGGCTTGCTAGCTTGACACAGATAGCATGCATAACCATGCTGGCCGGTTAAACTGAGGTGCATAGATGTCACTCAAAGACATGCCAGCCAGAGAGTTGGTCCGGAGAGAGACTTCTACTTTTCTTTTTTGCACATTTTTAACCTTATGCTTACCTGTTTGTACAGTTGGCTTGTTTCACAAAGATATGTGGTAGACGGGAACTTCACTGCTCAACATATGGTAATGAGAAAACCACAGTTGGACATTAGTTTGTCAGACGGGCTTGGGTATATGGTGAAAGATCAAGAATACCAGACTCATCTGTCATCGGCTGTAGAAAGTAAAGAGGTGAGTTGGCTCATGACAACCACTTTTCGTTCATGCTTCACTATCTTTGTAGCGGTCTTCTTGCAGCAATCATCGTGCAGTAAATGCAGCCAATATCAGCAGGAGCAATCTTCGAGCTACAGGTGTAGGAGCAACTGCTTGTGCTCGACATGGATGCTTTGTTCCTCATAGTATAGTTGATTTTCAGAAGGGCGAAAGGTCTGTGTATGTCCTCCAAATCAACATGTTATGCAAGCTCAGGTAATTTTTAGACACATGAATATCGACTACTCAATATGCAATGCATTGAATTATCATTCAGCTGGTATAGACTCTTCCCTCATCATTTATGATGTGGGGTGTCAGTGGAGCATTAATTTTCTACAGAGAGTAGCCCAGAGCAAGGGCTTGTCTGTACCTGAAAATATGCACATCGTTCCAGCAGTTGGAAAATTCCATCTTAGCGCTCACAAATTAGCTTGCTTTGCAAGGTACAGCCTCAACTTTATTCAAGGGGCTGGACATGTTGATGGGGAGATTTTGGAGACTCTGTGGGCACCATTCAATAAGATCTCCCCAACTGCTCGGTCAATGAGTCAGGCTCACCGTCAAGAAGTTCTTGATGATCATATGCGAGACTCAAACTGGAAAAAAATAGTGGGAATAAGTAAGCCCTCCAAATTTTGCATTTGAACAAGCTTGACAATTGAGCTTCCAGTGAAGACTCTCTTGAAAAAGTACAAACGGGCTCTCAAAGGTGTTGATGACACAAAGTCTCCCTTTGACGAGCTCACTCTGTCTCTGGACCCTGAGAAGATTTCGATATGGAAGATCGATGAGAAAAAGGCCATGGAACAACGTGGAGAGTATCTTGACATCTATCAGTTGCAGATGAACAAAGGTAAGTGAACTCTGTCTAGTTGTGAGGCTGCTATTCTTGTATAGACATCTGATCAGTATTTGTATCTAGCTCCAACTATGGCAGAGATTAGACTCAAATTAACTGAGTCTGAGAATACCGACACTAGCAAACCTGGGACAGTCTCTTGGCTCATTACTGGCATCAATCTGGAGGATTTACAGTATGTAACCAATAAAAATAGAGAAACCGTTTGACATAGTACTATTTTAGGGATGGACTAAGGGCAGATATTCGACAACTTCCTACTGATGCAACCCCAGGACAGAAAGTTTCTATAGAAGAGAAGCGACAGAGATTGACAGCTAGGATAGCTAAATTTCATGAAACAGCCGATGCCATGACTGCTGGTATGGATCTTGGAACTGCAACAGTGCATTCCGACGATCCTAGATTCTGCTATGCAGGTCATGATGAAAATGGTTGGGGAGAGGTCTCAGATGAAGAGATCTCAGAGTATATTGACGAAGAAATCTTGGCTGAAGAGATGGGTATCTGGATGCCATCATCAGTGCCCTACCAGGATGCATTGGCTCTCGGACTGGGTCCCCTCCAAGCTGAAGAATTAGAACTTCGAAAGGGCCAAGCCAATGACTGCCTCGAAAAGCTTCGAATGGCCCTTGGTCATAAGGCCATCATCTATCGTCAGTATTTTCGAAGTGCTAATTCTACATGGGCTGGGACTAGGTCAAAGCAAGAAGCTCAACGCTGTCAGCTCAAAATTGACAAGTGTGTAAGAAGCTATCAGAGGGCAAGGTCAGCAATGGAAGGTCTAGGCATGGACAAAGCCACCTTGGGGAGTCTTTATCAGCCAATATCGCCTACAGAGCTCAGTATAGACAAAGAGGTGACAGAAGAAAATAGATTTGGACAAGGGTCAGACAGGCTGGCTTGGTTTTGGAGGGGAAATAATGCAAGCCAAGGTCAAGACGATGCCTGGATAGATGAATGTAAGAAAAAATCTTTATCTCTATGATATGTCACTAAAGCTCCAACCGATCTAGTCTACAGGGTGAACTGGTTGAAGGCTAAGGCTAGATGGAATAGATAGCAAGAGGAATTAAGGCTGGTAAGACATGAAATGGGTTGGACCATAAACTGGTTCAAGTACCACCAGAATGAATGGGAGAGAAGGGGTGGCCAAGCCACCAGACCTGGTCATCAAGCCTATGCTTATCAGCAGGTCTTGATGTGGGGAAGATTTGTTGAGGAGGCAGAGAAAAATTTCAATGGATGTCAATTTATACTTTGATCTGGTATACTGTCTTTGCTAGGAAAAATATGACAGGATAATTCTCAATGCTAATGAATGACAAGGTAGCTTAGCTAGCACTAGCTCCACTCTATGTAGTCCACAGCTGGCCGAGATAATTGTATTTAAGATATGGACTGGCCAGATGGTTCCTACAGCATGTATGTACATGGCTGGCCCTTATAAGAGTATATAACTAGCTTATATCTACCCTATGCAGTCCATGTAATTCTGATACCAATAACTGGTTAGCCTTGATTCTACAATAGACAGAATCAAGTCGGCCGGTATGAAATGTTGAAACCAATAACCAGCCAGTCTTGATCATACATGTCGTAGGAACTATCTGACCAGTATACAAATCTGAAACCAATGACTGATCAGCCTTGATTCTACTATTGTACAATTAAACCGAGCAATATTAAAACTAATAACTGGCCAGTCTTGATTCTACATGTTGTAGAATTAAACCGGCCGGGATGCAATGTTGGAATTGAAAACCAGCCAGTCTTTATTCTACTGTTGTAAAATCAAACCGGCCGGAATGCAATGTTGTGATTGAAAACCGGCCAGTCTTGATTCTACTATTGTACAATTAAACTGGCCGGGATGCAATGTTGTGATTGAAAACCAGCCAGTCTTGATTCTACTATTGTGCAATTAAACCGGCCAGGATGCAATATTAAAACTGATGACTGGCCAGTCTTGATTCTACATGTTGTACAAGCTATCTGGCCAGTATGAAATTCTGTAACTAATGACTAGTATAGAAATTACAAAACAATAATTAGCTAGTCTTGATTCTACTATTGTACAATTAAACCGAGCAATATTAAAACTAATAACTGGCCAGTCTTGATTCTACATGTTGTAGAATTAAACCGGCCGGGATGCAATGTTGGAACTGATAACTGGCCAGCCTTGATTCTACTGGTGTAAAATCAAACCGGCCAGGATGCAATGTTGGAACTGATAACTGGCCAGCCTTGATTCTACTGGTGTAAAATTAAACCGGCCAGGATGCAATGTTGGAACTGATAACTGGCCAGCCTTGATTCTACTGGTGTAAAATCAAACCGGCCAGGATGCAATGTTGGAACTGATAACTGGCCAGCCTTGTTTCTACTGGTGTAAAATTAAACTGGCCAGGATGCAATATTAAAACTGATAACTGGCCAGCCTTGATTCTACTATTGTACAATCAAACTGGCCAGGATGCAATATTAAAACTGATAACTGGCCAGTATGACATTCTGTAACTAATGACTAGTACTCGTATAGAAATCCCAAACCAATAATTAGCCAGGCTTGATTCTTCTATAGGATTAAACCGGCCAGCTTTAATTCTACGGTTGTAGAATTAAACTGGCCAGGATGCAATGTTGGAACTGATAACTGGCCAGTCTTGATTCTACATGTTGTACAGGCTATCTGGCCAGTATGCAACTTAATAACAAGTGACTGGCTGACTTGATTTTACAACATGTAGAACCAAGACTGGCCAGTTATCAGTTTCAACATTGTGTCCTGGCCAGTTTGATTCTTGATTCTACAACAGTGGAGTCAAGGCTGGTCAGTCATTGGTTACAGAATTGCATACTGGCAAGCTTGATTCTACCTGCAGTGAAATCAGGCCAGCCAACTAGCTAGCTGAATTCTATATCTTGCAGGCATAAAGCTAGCCACTACCACTGATGGTAATCATTTATATATATATTAACACTAAACACTAATTCTACATACTCCGGCCAGCTGTATTATACATTTTGTAGGCATAAGGCTAGTTATTGTGTTTACAGTAATTCTAATATGTATATATCTACACCAGTCAACACTGATTCCACATACTCCGGCCAGCTGGAGTTTGCATACTCCGGCCAGTGACTGGCTGGCCATGATTCTACAGACTTTTGGCACATCCGGAGCCAGGGTTCTACATGGAAAGTGACTGAAGGGTCTGGAATTTTGGTGCCATCGTCCCACGAGAGTGGACAAGTGATACGGTTCTCGATAACTGTGACACGTTTTGGTTGAACTCTTATATAGATAGATATAATTTTTGTATTTTCAAATGATTATTGATAATCTTGTTGTACTTTATCGTCTTTTAGCGGTTTTTCTGTGATTACATAGAATTATCTAAATTACAATGTTTTATGAAAATTATGCCCGGGAGGGTTTTCCTGATGGGTATGGTCCTCCTATATGTCCTTTCCAACTTCCAAGATCAGACTTGAAGTAAATTTCACCGCATTTCACATAAATTGTAGACATTTATTGTGCTTTCTCATTCTTTGTCCCGGGTAAAAGATAGTTTTGCATGGTCAGTTACAGACATCAGAGGACCGGTGAACAGATGAGTATTTACATAAAGCATCGACAGCTGCGTAAATCATCCAAGTGATAATTCGGATCATAAATATGTGTCAAATGACATGCATATGACGAGTATCCATACGACGAGCGTCCGACTCATAGCCGACATATGGAGGTGCGGGACCAAGGGATACAGGTTCCTCAGTCATCTTCTCAGAAACAAAGCCCTCCTCCAACTGCGGTGGAGGTTCCGGATCGGTCTTTCTCGGGCGCTTCTTCCAAACCCCCAAAGGACGAGAGAGTCTGACAAGATCTTTCTCGTCTCGTTGCGGATGAGCTGGTTTGCCAAAAGATCCAAAGGCTCCACGTTCTGGGTCGAGAACAGCATTGTGAAGACTAGGATGCGTGGCAGGTAGATGGTCAGGGTGGAGGGAGGCTTGAAGACGCATTCGGGTTCCCGTGTACTGTCGGAGGATGCGCATGAGCCTCTCAAATACAGTTTTGTCTGGTGCAGGGCAACCGCACTGCATGTATGGGGTGTGAAACCGCGACTGAGGCTTGATGAGTAAATATTCTCAACCACAAGCCTATCTCAAATTACCTGCCATGCACGACATGTATCATCAAGGGCTCTTGAAAGAATAGCTTCTTCTGTGGTGAGTGGACTGCAAAGTATATTAGATTATCTCAGCTATGAACTAAGAGACTTCACTCACTGGTCAACACGACGGCCTATGTATATATCACAATCAACACCGTACCTGCCACCCATCAGCTGATGACTGTGCCAAATCAGGTCAATGTCAAGTGTAGGGACAGACATCAAATTCGGAGAGGTTGCTGCTAAATCGAGGAAACTACAGTGATGATCAGGTCATCATTGCGACCTTACTATATATTTGTCCTCACCAGTGATAACGCAGCAGAGCATGTTGCAGGAGTTGCGACTTATCACCTTCCTTGAATGTGCCAGGTTTAAGCCAGCCTAATTCGTCAATCCTTTTGGTAAATATCCCTTGTCGCAGCACCTAGCCGAAAAATATTATAGATATAGCAAAAAGCGCAAACATTGCAACTCACCGCAGAAATGAGGTTGATAGAAAACGGACTGTCGTCTTCATATGCACTCAAAATTCTGGTCCTCCTTAATTGGGGTGAGAAATCATTGCTAGCACGTCATGGGGTCACATACGTCGCCTCTGGCTGGTCTCTGAGGGCTATCGCTATGGCGTCTTTTAACAGTGGCCAGGAATAACCAATGCTTTCCTTGATTTCTTTCTCCCAGTCCAGTCGAGCAATACGCTGGTTAGAAGACCGAGGACTCTTACGACAAAACTGTGATGACTGAGTTAGTTGATCTTTGATTGCCTTCGCCCGTTGAGGATCTCGCTTTCCGTTGCCAAAGAATAGACTTCCACTGTAATCTTATCAGCGATAGAAATTGTGTCAGATATAGTGCCACTCAACGCCATAAAATTTTCGCTCCCATCCTCTGACTCTGTCAGATCTCGTACGAACTTCGCCACGGCTAGATTCCCTTTTGAGATCTTCAGTCTACATCCTGGGAGAGGACACATAGCACTAAACTGCTGTTCGGAGTACCCGGTTCCGTTATCGTTGACAAACGCTGTGAGATATATTAGCCTTAGAAGGAATGAATAGACCCCTTGACTCACGAACAAAGACACGTGTCCGACACCGAGGACACTCCATTTGTTTATGAGTTAACTCTTCCATGGCATCAAATGGATCGAAGAATGACCCAGTTTGTTTGTGCCATGCAGCAACCCGCGAGGCAGATGGCTGATTCCTTGCAAGCTTTCCAACATCGATCTACACATGGTCAACTTGTGTCCAGGAAAATAACTATAAGCAAGAACTGACAGAAGAAACGACGAACACGTTGAGGAGGCGGAGCTGTTGAAGAATGAGGAGACGTTCACAGTCTTCTTCGTACCAACTGCCCAAGGTGAAATTTCAAATCATTAACTCCGCAGGGTTCAATAGTACAAAACTTACCATGGATTCAATAGATAGGCATGCCAAACCATCCACACGTCGATGGGTGGGAACTGTTTGTTGATGAATTTCTCAAGAGGTACGAATGTCAGAGATTTGACCCATCGCTCAAATCTTGTTTAGGCGTCATGGTGTGTACGTCATTGAATGGAAGTGATTTGACAAACCTGTCAATAGCCAGGGTAATAAACCACATCCACCGGCTATCTCTATCCATTTGTGCTGCAAAGGTAGGAATTCTGCGGTCCTTGCATTCTTCTACTATAACCCTCAGGTTATGGAACGCTCTGAGGAGGCGGAGGTGCCCCTTCACCTGTGCAATGGACACGAGTGGACCTGGAGTCCTTTGTGAGCCGATTTCGAATGAGGGGATTTGTCGTCGCGGGGTTTGCTTGATTACCTGGTTCTGCATGACCAGCTGCGAAACAAGGAGGAGTTGTGAGCTCTGTGAGTTCGTGCGAATATCTTATATGTATAGCTCACTGATGAAATACACTTCAAGATCGGCTGAAAACCGGGGCAGAACGTTCAGTTGTCATTGATTAGATCATAAAAGCGATGATAGGAAGATTGGTCGACAACTATAGTGATTAGTGCATTGTCAACACTACCACTGGTAGGAGGACCTTTGGAAATTGCTTGAACAAGCTGCCAGTGCGTACTCAGCCTTGTATTATTACTTGGGAATAAGACTCCAATACAAGGGCCCTTCCCGCACCCGTGAGATGTGAGATGTAGCTAAGATGGCTGTACTCACTGTGGCGGAGCAGATCAGACGTCAAAGAACGGACTCATCAAAAGATTCAAATCCTGTTGGAGCATTAATGCTAAAAACGGCAAAGCTATGACTGTTCGTAGTAGATCGAGAGCCTAAGCACCCGGGCCCACCGGGTCTGTAGTACCTCATTCAAACTCCGCTACTACTCCAAAAATTAATTTCTAACACGAGCTCGAGGTGCAAGTCTTGACAGCAAAGCCACATAATTAAAGGTACAACTCGACCAAAGTGTTCTCATAGTGGTTGGCTGGTCGAATTCTAATAACCTCCTCTGTCATCTCCTTCCTCCACCTTGCATCTGGAGCTTGTGATTTATCCATGGACAAAAGAAACGCGGTAAATGGTTCTCTTCTAACCCTGTCGATGAAACCACTCCCACTGCTGTTAGCCCAGTAGTCCAGAACAGCTATTGCCCAGGTGGTATGAGGTTCACGCTTTGCGCCAATATGCCTCACCACCACATCATGATTGAACTCCGGATGCCTGAAGGTAAGGTATCTCGAATTATGCGGCTCGTCTCTTGTCTGTTGTAGATCGACAGACAGACAGAGCACCTTGATTCGGAGGCCATGGTTAGTCAAGGCAAAAAGCCTATCTCCAATGCCGTAGTTTGCTGTATTCCATTCCTCCTCGTTGTCTGCTTCGTGTCGGCGCTTTACAAGCGTTTCCTGATATCCCACAGGATAACAGCGTGGATCGTAAGGAATGGCTGCGTTGTAGTGGGAGCATTTACCACTCCAGAGAAACACATCCCATTTGTCGTATCTCTTCATTATCTCCTCCATCAGACGGAAGAAGGCTCTGTTCCCCTCCCCGTACGCGATCATGAGGCTGACATCGAATATTCCAATGAGGCAATATGCAATATCTTCAACGCGGGTCGTTCTCCTCTTCGAGGCCCACAACATCTTTTCCGGCACTCGATTTGTGCCGGGACTGAACGATTTAAGATCTCTGAGTGGAATGTTTGTGATTTTCTCTATCTTTCGCATGATGGTATCGCTGACTCTGTCGCTCTTGGAGTCGTGGAGCGGTACGAGGGGCTGCCAGTTCGTTCCGTAAAACTTGATTTGCGATGGAGCAAGGAGTTCTTGAAGTGTCCATCCTCTTGTGAACCAAACATCGATCTTCGTTCCACCCCTCTGCTGCCTTTCAAGAGCTGCAAGGTCTTCCGTCCCCGACAGGTGTACGATGCATATGTAGGAATTCCTGTACCAGCGAAACATGGAGCGGATGGATTCATCCAACTCCGCGCTCCTTGTTTTGTCTATGCAGCACGTGTCTGACCAGGCAAATTCGCAACCATGGTCAACCTTCGCTTTACGACAAAATTCTTGAAGCTTCTTCCACTTAGGCTCGAGCTCAGCCTGGACTTTCATTGGTTCTGTCGGCATATCTTGATACGAAGGCTCGCTGAACAGCCACCGATGGGAGAAGATAGCATATTTGAATGTCTCCTTCATCCGCTCTCTGATACGGCCCTCCCTGTCTACGAGCCTTTCGTTGCAAAATTCTCTGTAAATCTCGTCGGGGACTAATTTGAAGTGCTCCTTGACGAAATTCCTGTCCACGAGTTTGAAATTCAGCCCCTGGCCATCGTTGCTGATATGAATTAGACGAATTGGTATTTCGTTGACGATATATTCGTCGAATACTTCTTCAACAAGATCTCTGAAGTCGTTATCGTCAGTTCTGGAGGCGCATATGCTGTCCGAGTCGTCCATGATGACTTCAAAGTTGTTTGCTAATGTTAGACAACCGCGTCATGACACATAGTGAGTAACTCACGATCGATGACCTCGGCTAGTCGTGGTTACTGAGAGACTCCTTAGACGCCCTACGAAGGATACAAATATAGCTTTCTAAAGCGGACTTTTGAACCACCTTTGACGCCCATGATAAGACATGATCATCCGCGGGTCTATATTCAGAACGTTATCAAGCCAGCCTTGTTCTGCACAATGCACAGCAGTGTATTGCCTCTATGAAGCTCAGGGTTCGAAATAAGTTCGCCGTCTCGTCCCTCGAACGGTCCAGTCACAGTTTCTACGACATCGCCTTTCGTTCCTTGTACATGGGCCACCAGTCGTTGAAGTCGCACCAGGACGCAAGGTCACTGAGCCCTGCATCCTTTTACTTAGCATTGCTTCTTCACTAATTTGTGCCTTATAGCAGCTGACTGCTGCCACACTACCGGAATACAAGAAAGTGGATGACGTCCGACATCCGTCTGGGCAGCAGCCTGGAGTGCCGCAGGATACCGAGTCGTCTGACATTGCTTCACTCCCAGACGTATATTGGTGCAAGGTATTCCTGTACTACTATTCATGCTGGTCTCATGGTAAACCAAGATACCTTCACGATAACGCTCAGATCGGATATACCCCGTCAGGACGGCACGACAAATACTAGTAGCAGCTGGCGTAGTGGTACTCATGGTCGCAGTTGACTCGATCCACTGCTGTATCCTTTATGACTATTTTACACCATCTGCAATACTCAGCGCACTCCTATCACAAGACAAAATCGCATGATTCAGATGATCTTTGAGTATCTCCCGTGGAATGTTGTTCATTTTGCACTGGTCAAGCTCAAGATATTCGTTTCGTTTAATGTGTAATTTGAATTGTCTCGTTGCTACTTTCATATTGATACACCGGATTTCTTTTTTTCTCCTCTAACGGCCTCTATTTACTTGAGGAACTGGACAAACGACGCTTAAGATCCCATTTGTTATGAATGGTCGGGCGAAATATCCCCTTGATACGAGAAGCGGGCCAAACATCACGTCAATAGTACCAAACATAATATAACATGAATCAGCTCGTCATCCGAGCCAGTATTGATTTGCCACAACCCCAGAGCTTCTATGTGTAAAAGTAGCCTCGAACGCCACAAGCTTGACCGGTGACCCCCAGGGAAAACTGGACATGGCCAAAACGGTTGAGATCAAGCGGAATATGACGAATTTAGAAGCACCATATTTCACTATAGGAGACTCGCTGTGGAGACAAATAGAATATTTCGCATCTGTTGCAATCTTCTCGAATGTTGTAGGATATGTTAAGAATATTGATATCATATTTCAGCATATTTCAATCGAGTTCCACTGGTACGACAAAATCGGTTGTATTCGGGTGAAATATGCTATAATCTACTGATACAAATGCTTCGACCTACGACCAGAAAACACGATATAGGATGATGGTGATAGAACTAGCACGACAGTGTAAAGCAGGCAACCTCGACGGCAGCAAAAGAACAGGAGCGACGCGGACATGCGAGGAGGGAGATAATCGGGAGGAAACCGGCAGGCAATAGCAAAAGAACAGGAGCGATGTGGAGTGAGACAGGCGAGCACAGGTAATTTGGAAGCGACCAGCAGGCGATGGCAGGAATGATGTAGACAGTAGAGGAGTTAGACGAGCGAGCAGGCGGCAGTGGGCAAATAGCTTGAATAGGCCGGGCAAGTTAATACATGGGACCATTGACGACTTCGCTGTTCTTCGTTCAGCGCCCTGCTTTTTCCTAAGAAGTCTCAGCAACTTGATAATATGAGTAGCAAGGCTGTACTTACGAGTTCTCTAGCCTCCCTATCATAAGACTGTGGACAGAAGTGTCAGTAGAATGAAAGGATATGGTATCGAGGACGGTAGTGGTTGTCGGTACAGGTGCCAGCTTCAAGTTCGAACTTGGAACAGTCTCGGAGTCATTAGACTGGACAACATAAAGAAGAGTTCCACTTACTGAGCATACAACCTTTGTTATGATACATACGGTGATAACATACTTAAATCGAAGATTCATACAATCTGCTGAGGAAGTTGGCGACAGTAGGAGGATGACGACTTGGCGGGAAGATGATGTTATGAGGAGAAGTAGGAAAAATAGGGTTGCCCCAATGAATTATAACTTTGGGGTGAATGATGTCACAAACTCTGCGCAAACAAAAGAGTACGTACTATAGCTAGCCGTTGTGCGATGTATGTGATGCAGCACGATGTGAAGTAGTCGATGAATTGCATAGCAGAAGTGCATGCGGTGCACGTGCGTCGTGCGAGCGCTTGACAAACTTTAGTGCGATCGACAACGCAATGGCCGCAGTGTGCGCATCAAATCGACAACGATGTAATGTTTTTACGATGCGATGCATTGTAGACGATCGTGTCGTTGAAGATTACACAATATTATAGCATAAATTATATGTCTAAACAATATTCCGCTTGATCTCAACCGTTTTGGCCATGTCCAGTTTTCCCTGGGGGTGACCATCCATTACACGACAACCACATATGGTATGCAATGTGTATTCAAATGTTAGGAACCCTACACGCAATATACATGATGGTTCCGTGTAGAATTCCGTGTACTAGACACAGCTAGAATAGAAACACGAACTTCGCTGGCGGGCCATCTAGAAGGTCGGAGTCGCTATACCCATTGCCATCCTCAACCACCGGAAATCCGAGAAACAACGTGCCTTGGAGTTGCCAATTCAAGACCCCGAATCCAAAATAATCCAACGTTCACTCACAGCTGACTTGAATCAGAGTTTGAAACGATTGAGTGCTAATGGCAAATCCCACATACCCATGATGCCAGCAACCAGGGCAGATCAAAGGAAGCCTCGGATGTCCGCTACGAATGTTCCAGAGAAGAGAAGAGAAGAGAAGCATCTCACCGGGTGGAATACTACGTCTTTGGATGGCGACTTGATTAAAACTCGAGGACATGGCCAATCAAGTGGACCGGGTGAACCGTGCATGTCGTCTTCCTATCTGTTGCGTGGACCCCTGAAACAATTGCCACCAGGCTCGTTGACCGATGTGGAACATTGCGGCGACACGACTTGGATGCATGAGCCCATTCACTTAGATTGTCAAGCAAGGTACTTGTGATAATAGCCTCATGTTTTGGGCGTCTAGTGAGGGGGTGATGCTATGAAGCAGGTTTAAAATACCCCATCACACGCACCTCTGCAACTTCGAGCAAGACACCATCCCCCTCAACTGTGCTGCAGCTCCACTAAAATGGCGGCGCTCATTCCAAACATCAAACCCATTCGAGTATTTGAAGATCACGAGGATCGCGTGGTCGCAATCGTGGTTTTCAAACCCCAATATAGCTACGACGAACGCATGGTCACGGGCTCGTATGATGGAATGCTTCGCCTGTGGGACTTGAAAACAGGTGTAATGTTAAAGAAGATGGAGGGGCATAGCAGTCGAGTGTGGGGATTGGCTGTTTCACGAGATGGGAAATGGATAGCAAGCGGCGATGAGAGCGGAGAGCTCATCGTCTGGGATGCAAATACTGGGGGACTCATCAAAACAATCAACAAAACCCACAACGGCTGTATATTTTCACTTGACTTTTCATCGGATTCCAGGATGCTAGCCAGTGGATCATCTGACACTACCACGAAGCTATGGGATACATCAACGTGGCAGGTGAACTGTACACTCAGTTGCGGTGGAACTGTCCGCTGCGTTCGGTATTCGCCACCTGAGTCACGCCATTCGTATACACTTCTTGCGATTGCAACGGAGCAAAATATCCAAATTTACCAGAATGACACTTCAGACACAGGCAGATACATTTACCGCGATATTAATTACGCACCACCACCGGCATTTCCCACTCAGTTGACGAGGACGATCAACGGAGGATTAAACTATTCACTCGCGTGGATGCCAGGTGGCTCACGGCTTCTCTCGGGGGGCAATGGGGCCGATCCCACCATACGAGAGTGGGATGCATTGACCTGGAAGCAGGTCGGTGATCCCTGGAAGGGCCATTTCAAGGATATCCATGCCATTTCCGTGGACTCTAACGGCACTCTCCTTGCCTCCGCATCTCATGACAACCGTGTCCGCCTCTGGCGACTCTCAGATCGACGAAACGTTGCCATATTCAAGCACTCTGGGGAGGTGGACTGCGTTACGTTCTCTACGAATGGCAAGCGTGTCCTTAGTGGAGGTGTGGACAAAAAGATCTCAGAGTGGCCAATATCCGAGGATGCTTTGCCAGAGGATGGTTCAAAGGATGGCCTCATGAAGGAGCAAGCTATCCACCAGGTACGTTTGTTTTCATTTTCCTGCCCATTCATCATTCAAGCGTCTTCTTTATGCTAAGGCTCAAGCCTACTCTGATTTCAAGGCATGTTCCAAGCCTTGACTCTTATAACGCAATGTGAACATGAGATACGCAGGTCCTCGCTATGAACTCGACAGTCCGCAATGCATGCATAGCCGGGGACTGGCCTACCGCTGAAAGGGTGCTAAATACAGACATTTACACTGACGTCAACAATCACATCGCCTATGCCAATCGCGCATTTGTTATGGCGCGAAAATGCGACTGGGACCATGCACTTCAAGACGCAATTCAGGTGAGACGGACTGACCCATCGTGACCTCCTTACAAAGGTTGATTTTGACGATGGTATAGTCCGTCAGCATTCAGCCATCGTTGGCAGGCCACATCTCCGAGGGCATTGCCTTCTGCGGAAAAAAGCAGGTTCTGGCCGCGAGGATCTCATTTGACCTCGCATCCATGTTCACGAACCGAGATTTAAAGACCGATCACTTCCTGTTTTTGATCAAGGTAAGTGATATTTTTCCAACAAACTCCGTGCTTCATTGTGATTTTAGGCCATTGCATTGTTCAATGCAAACGAACATCAAGAGGCAATTCTTCGCATACAAGAACTTGCTGCGTGTCCCAATGTCGATCTTGTCGCTTGTCGTATCGTAGAAGTGAGTATCATACACTCGCTCACGCCAGGTTCATGTGTTGTCATTGATTATTGCCCTTCGTACACCAGGCCTACCTACGCGTCCAACTAGGAAACATTGCCTTGGAAGGCGCGCGCCACAACGAAGCTATTGAACACTTCACTGTCGCTGCCAATGCTAGCAATTTATTTTACAAATCTCCAATTCATGTGACGTACGATGAGTTTGTCGTGGTACGCTGATCTAACGCAACCGAAAATTGTTTCGTGCTCAACTGCGTGTTTTCCACAGCTATTTGGTTGGGACCTCAAGTCCTTATGGCACACCGCGAACCAGCAACAGTGTTATGCACTCTTTCGAGCAGGTAGTTTTAAAGCAGCCGTCGAATCGTGTCAGTCCATGATGGATAAGATTGATGAGGATATGAAGGCTGACTTACGCGTCTGGTTCACTTGTAAGTATTCAGTGATGTCCACCCGTCTACCCATCTGCAATCGTTAACTGTGCTCCACTCAGCTCTGAAGTAAGATCAAAACGCTCTCTATGCTTCCCATGGAGATGGTGCACTCGCAGCGAGCGGTTACTCGTAAAGTTTGATACAGAGATCACATTCTCGCTTGTACCCCGACGGTAGCTGTATTGCTTAAATAGTTCTTAGTGCTAGTGTCGTGAACAGCAACTGCAGGCGGAGCGCATGTGAAGAAGGACCTTCATGATCGGTGAAGCATAGACTGACACATACCATAGATGATTCGACACGGAAGTGGCATATCATGATGTGCGACATGAGGAGAAATCGGGTTGGATTGTGCTGCAGAATGCTACAGAGCGCTCTGTAGCATTCTGTAGTGAATTACGTTTCCCTGATCGTGCATCACATAAACTTGCAAACATCTACGAGAAAACAAGGTGACATAGGCCACTTTGTATCGCCTAACTTGTTACATCAACAAACTAACTAGCTCGGAGCTTGACGAGCTCGTTCGTTCCATGTTCAAGTGGCATGGAAACTCACGAGTATACATTGTCTACCTTAAGGAGTTGAGTGGGGACGGCGGTCTGACGATTGACCATACAGATGCCTCCATGATAACGATCAGAGCAGGTTGATATACCCCGTCAGGACGGAATAACAAATACTACTACTTGTAGCAGCTGGCGTAGTGGTGTTCATGGTCGCAGTTGACTCAATCCACTATTGTATCCTCGATGCCTGATGGTTTTACACTTAAATATTATCACCATCTGCAATACTCAGTGTACTTGCCCAATCCTATCACAAGAAAAACTTGCATGATTCGGATGATCTTCGAGTATCTCTCTCGGGATGTTTGTTCATTTTGCACTGGTCAAGCTTAAGATTAATATTGAGACATTCGTTTTGCTCAATGTGTAATTTGATGGGGACTGAAACAACGGGATCCAAAGCGGGCCAAACATCACGTCAATAGTACCCAATATCGATAACCATACTTCGATTCGATTGTCATCGGTATGATTGGCCACATCTCCAGAGCTTCTATGTGCAAAAGTAGCCTCGAACGCCACAAGCTCCATCCCTGGCACGAGAACCACACATATGGATCAATGTGTATTCAAATATTAGGAACCATACACCGCAACATATATACATAGTGGTTCCGGGACCGCGTAGAATTCCGCATACTAGAATGGCAACACAAACTAGTGGGCCCATCTAGAAGGGCATCGCCATACCCATTGCCATCCTCAACCACCGGGAATCCGAGGAACAATGTGTCTTGGAGTTGCCGATTCAAAGCCCCGAATCCAAAATAATTCAACGTTCAATCACAGCTGACTTCAGTTGACAATCAGAGTTTGAAACGATTGATTATCTTCAATGCTGATGGCGAATCGCACATACCCATGAATCATGATGTTAGCAACCAGAGAAGATCAAAGGAAGCCTCGGATCTCCGCTACGAACGTTCCAGGGAACAGAAGCTCAACATGTTACCGGGTGGAATACTACGTCTTTGGATGACGACTTAGTTAAAATTGGAGGGTATGGCCAATCAAGTGAATCGGGTGAACCGTGTATGTCGTCTTCCTATTTACTGCGTGGACTCCTGAAACAATTGCCATCAGGTTCGTTGACTGATGTGGAACATTGCGGCGACATGACTTGAACGCATGAGCCCATTCGCTTAGATTGTCAAGCAAGGTACCTGTGATAATAGCCTCATGTTTTGGGCGTCCGGTGAGAGGATAATACTTTAAAGCAGGTTTGAAACACCCCATCACACGCTCCTCTGCAACTTCGAGCAAGACCTATCCCACACACACACAAAGTCCACCTCAACTGTGCTGCAGCTTCACTAAAATGGCGGCGCTCATTCCAATCATCACACCCACTCGAGCATTTGAAGATCACGAGGATCGTGTGATAGCACTCGCAGTCTTCCGCGACCGTGACGAACGCATGGTCACAGGTTCATACGACGGTATGCTTCGTCTGTGGGACTTGAAAACAGGTGTAGTGTTGAAGAAGATGGAGGGGCACCGCAGTCGGGTCCGGGCATTGGCTGTTTCACCAAATGGGAAATGGATAGCAAGCGGTGATGAGAGCGGAGATCTCATCATCTGGCATGGAAACACTGGGGAACCACTCAACCAAGCAATCAAAGCTCATGATGGTTGGATATTTTCGCTTGATTTTTCTTTGGATTCCGTGGCGCTGGCCAGTGGATCATCTGACACCACCACGAAATTATGGAGCACATCAACGTGGGAGAAGCCCGAACGTTCAATCAACTGTGGTGGAAATGTCCGCTGTGTTCGGTATTCAGTCTATGGACATCTTGCGATTGCAACAGACCACCATATTCAAATTTACACTTCAAACAATTACAATTACTACAGTTATAATGAGACATTATATCCATTCCCCACTCGGTTGATGAGCTCGTTCAGTGGAGGATTCAACTACTCACTCGCGTGGACACCAGCTGGCTCACGGCTTCTCTCGGGGGGCAATGGGGCTGATCCCACCATACGAGTGTGGGATGGATCGACTTGTCGGCGGGTCGGTGATCCCTGGAAGCAGGTCGGTGATCCCTGGAAGGGCCATTTCGAGGTTATCCATGCCATTTCTTTAAACTCTAATGGCACTCTCCTTGCCTCCGCATCGCATGACAACTGTGTCCGCCTCTGGCGACTCTCGGATCGACGAAACATTGCCTTATTCAAGCACTCTGGGGAAGTGAACTGTGCCACGTTCTCTGCGAATGACGAGCACGTCCTCAGTGGAGGTGTGGATAAAAAGATCTCAGAGTGGCCAACATCCGAGGATGCTTTGACAGAAGATGGTTCAAAGGACGGCCTCATGAAAGAGCAGAAGACGCACCAGGTACGTTCATTTTCATTTTCCCGCTCATTCGTCATCTAAGCGTCTTTATGCCAAGGCTCAAGCCTACCCCGATTTCAAGGCATGTTCCAACCCTTGACTCTTACAACGCAATGTGAACATGATTTACGCAGGTCGTCGCTATGAACTCGACAGTCCGCAACGCATGCATAGCTGGGGACTGGCCTACCGCTGAAAAGGTGCTAAATACAGATATTGACGTCGATGCCAACGATCACACCGCCTATACCAATCGCGCATTCGTTATGGCGCGAAAGTGCAACTGGGACCAAGCACTTCAAGACGCAATTCGGGTGAGACGGACTGACCCATCGTGACCTCCTTACAAAGGTTAACTTTGATGATGGCATAGTCCGTCAGCATTCGGCCATCGTTGGCAGGCCATATCTCCGAGGGCATTGCCCTCTGCGGCAAAAAGCAGGTTCTGGCTGCGAGGATATCATTTGACCTCGCATCCATGTTCACGAACCGAGATCTGAAGACCGACCACTTCCTTTTCTTGATTAAGGCAAGTAATATTTTCTTGACATACTCCGTGCTTCATTGCGGTTTTTAGGCCATTGCATTGTTCAATGCAAATGAACATCAAGAGGCAATCCTTCGCATCCGAGAACTAGCTGCGTGTCCCAACGTCGATCCTGTCGCTTGCCGTATCGTAGAAGTGAGTAACATACACTCGCTCACGCCAGGTTCATGTGTTGTCATTGATTATTGCCCTTCGCACACCAGGCCTACCTACGCGTCCAACTAGGAAACATTGCCTTGGAGGGCGCGCGCCACAACGAAGCTGTTGAACACTTCACTGTCGCTGTCAATGATAGCACTTTCTTTTATAAATCGCCAATTCATGTGACGTACGATGAATTTGTCGTGGTACGCTGATATGACACAACTGAAAATCATTTCGTGCTCAAATACATACGTGTTTTCCACAGATATTTGGTTGGGATCTCAAGTCCTTATGGCAAACCGCGAACCAGCAACAGTGTTATGCACTCTTTCGAGCAGGTAGTTTCAAAGCGGCCATCGAATCATGTCAGTCCATGATGGATAAGATTGATGATGATATGAAGGGCGACTTACGCGTCTGGTTCACTTGTAAGTATTCAGTGATGTCCACCCGTCTACCCATCTGCAATCGTTAACTGTGCTCCACTCAGCTCTGAAGTAAGATCAAAACACTCTCTATGCTTCCCATGGAGATGGTGCACTCGCAGCGAGCGGTTACTCGTATAGTTTGATACGGAGATCCTCGAGTAGTTTTCATTTGTACATTGACGGCAGCTGTATTGCCTTGATGCTCGTCACGATATATTGGCTCATTTGAACATGTTTACCCTATGTTTCCAAGTAGCTTTACTTTCACTTGAAACCACTTCTGAACATCGCCCCGCGCGTCTCATGTTTCAGGCTGTGAGCTGAGTGCGATAATCATATCTGTATCCCAACCCGTCGTAAATATTTCACGAAAGACATTAATGTTTGATGATCTTCTTCCTGCACTCTACCTATCCCACAACGTCGTCCTAAGCCTTGCCAATGCGTGGCACCAGTCCATAGTGTCATAACGATACATAAAACATGAGTACTGTCATTATCGGCGACTGTCCAGCGATGGCCGCTGTAGGTTTAGATAAAAAGCTCGTTTGTTCCCCGTCACGCACAAACCTGCATATCTCGATGCAAATTGTATCACATTCTGGAATGGCATGTATCGCAGGGGAAATGAAATGGGCTTACTTTTGCTTGATAGTTGATGCTATCATTCTGAAGAAAGCTTTTTCGGCGCTGCGCACTTCTCCACACGTTACCCGTCAGATTGTTTCACATCTCCAACATGGAGTTCTTTGATAGATCTCAGAAGAAACATTTTAAGCCTACTGTCGTTAGTATCACTAATCGTGAATTTGAACAGCTACCGCAGCCGAAATGCATATGAAGAAGGACCTTACGAGTTGGTGAAGCAGACAGTAAGACATACCATAGATGGTTCGGTACAGAAGTGGCATATCATGACGTGCAACATGAAAGATTTGTGATTCGTGCATGACATAAACTTCTGCGAGATGACAATGTGGCATGGCTGCAATTTCGTATAGTCTAACACTTGCTGTATCGATAAACTAACTAGCTCAGAGCTTGACGAGCTCGTTTCGTTACATGTTCAAGTGGCATGGAAACTTACAAGCGTGCATCGTCTACATTGAGGAGTCGGATGGAAGACCTGGTAAGGGGATGAGTGGTTTTTGAAGGGATGACTCTACAAGAGCTACTCTCCACACGGCATGAAATTCTATAAATGGGACAGGACGCTGCTCACCGATGACAAAACGACATCGCTGTCTGTCAAATCACCAAGACTTTGATGAATGAACTCATAGGTCTCATTCCGGAACCCGCATTCTGAGCGAATGCCTGTCATGGACATCCCACAGGTCAATTATTCGTAAGCAGGACATGGCTGATTCCTCGAGTGAGATTTCAGCCTCCGTCACATACGCAGAAAGCAGGAGCGTTCCATCGATCACTCAGAGCAAGCCAAAATGCTACCGCAACCAGAGCTATGCATATCAGATAGACTCGAGGGTAGACAAGCTATTCGTCACGACGAACCATGGTCTGCGCCTGAAGATCATGTGGCGGGAAGGTGATTTGAAACTTCGAAAATAATGTAATTTGTTATATGTGGCGCCCTTGAACTCACCAGCACTTTGATGATCTCAAGAAAGGCATGGGTCGCTGTTCGATTGTAGAGTTGTCTTTGGCATTTGGGATGGCGAAACTGGAGGGATGCAGGTTGTAACTACGGTTTCATCTACCACCGGCACACGGTAAATGTCTTGGAGATAATCGCGACGAAGCGCCATATCTGAGTCGAGCTGAACGAGCAATATTATAATCCAATCGGCTGTGGAATCTGGATTCTGGATCAGAGTCACGAGCAGAGAAGAACCGGCTATGTATAGATATAAGCCTGAGAACTTATTACTAGACACGGCTAGAAAACTGTCATCGTGGCCATACCCAGGGAATCCGATCGAGAAACAACGTGTTTTGGAGTTACCGATTCAAAGCCTTGAATCCAAAATAATCCAACATTCAATCACAGCTGACTTGAATTAGAGTTTGAAAAGGTTCAACGCTGATGGCAAATCGCACATACCAGTGATACTAGCAACCAGAGCAGATCAAAGGAAGCCTGGTATCTCCGCTGCGAATGTTCCAAGGAACAGAAGCTCACCATGTCACCGGGTGGAATACTACGTCTTCGGGTGACAACTTAATCCAAATTCGAGGACATGGCCAATCAATGTATGTCGTCTTCCTATCTTCTGTGTGGACCCCTGGAACAATTGCGACCAGGCCCGTTGACTGATGTGGAACATTGCGGCGACACGACTTGGATGCATGAGCCCATTCGCTTAGATTGTCAAGCAAGGCATTTGTGATAATAGCCTCATGTTTTGGGCGTCTGATGAGAGGGTAATGCTTTAAAGCAGGTTTGAAACACCCCGTCACACGCACCTCTGCAACTTCGAGCAAGACCTATCCCCCCACTCACAAAGTCCACCTCGACCGTACTGCGGCAGCTTCACTAAAATGGTGGCGCTCATTCCAAACATCACACCCACTCGAGCATTTGAAGATCACGAGGATCGCGTGATCGCACTCGCAGTCTTCCGCGACCATGGCGAACGCATGGTCACAGGTTCATATGACGGCACGCTTCGTCTGTGGGACTTGAAAACAGGTGCAGTATTGAAGAAGATGGAGGGGCACCGCAGTCGAGTCCAGGCATTGGCTGTTTCACGAGATGGGAAATGGATAGCAAGTGGTGATGAGAGCGGAGATCTCATCGTCTGGCATGGAAACACTGGGGAACTCAAGCAAACAATCAATAAAGCCCACGACAGCTGGATATTTTCAATTGACTTTTCATCGGATTCTAGAATGTTGGCCAGTGGATCGTCTGACACTACCACGAAGCTATGGGTTACATCAACATGGCAGGTGCAATATACACTCAATTGCGGTGGAACTGTCTATTGCGTTCAGTATTCGCCGCAACTAGTAATTCCACCAGGACCATTACATTTACCATGACCGGCTTCGCGAACACTTCTTGCGATTGCAACGGACCATAATGTCCAAATTTACCGAGATGATTACGGTTCTAACGGTTGCTACAGTCATCCACCACCACCTCGATTTCCCACTCAGTTGACGACAACGATCAGTGCAGGATCCAACTACTCGCTTGCGTGGGCGCCAGATGCTACACGGCTTTTCTCAGGGGGCAGTGAGAGTGATCCAACCATACGAGAGTGGGATACATCGACCTGGAAGCAGGTTGGTGATCCCTGGAAGGGCCATTTCAAGGATATCCATGCCATTTCCGTGGACTCTAACGGCACTCTCCTTGCCTCCGTATCTCATGACAACCGTGTCCGCCTCTGGCAACTCTCAGATCGACGAAACGTTGCCATATTCAAGCACTCTGGGGAGGTGCACTGTGTCACGTTCTCTGCGAATGGCGAGCACGTCCTTAGTGGAGGTGTGGATAAAAAGATCTCAGAGTGGCCAACATCCGAGGATGCTTTGCCAGAAGATGATTCAAAGGACGGTTTCATGAAGGAGCAGGCGACGCACCAGGTACGTTTGTTTTCATTTTCATGCCCATTCATCATCTAAACGTCTTTTTCATGGCAAGGCTCAAGCCTACTCTGATTTCAAGGTATGCTTCCACCCTTAACTGTTATAACGTAACGTGAACATGAGCCACGCAGGTCCTCGCTATGAACTCGACAGTCCGCAACGCATGCATAGCTGGGGACTGGCCTACCGCTGAAAAGGTGCTAAATGTAGATATTTACACTGACGCCAGCGATCACACTGCCTATGCCAATCGCGCATTTGTTATGGCGCGAAAGTGCGACTGGAACCAAGCACTTCAAGATGCAATTCAGGTGAGATTGACTGATCCATCATGACTTACATACAAAAGTTGACTTTAATGATGGCATAGTCCGTCAGCATTCAGCCATCATTGGCAGGCCATATCTCCAAGGGCATTGCCCTCTGCGGCAAAAAGCAGGTCCTGGCTGCGAGGATATCATTTGACCTCACAGCTATGTTTACGAGCGATTTAAAGACCGATCACTTCCTGTTTTTGATCAAGGCAGGTAATATTTTTCTCACATACTCCATGCTTCATTGCAGTTTTTAGACCATTGCGTTGTTCAATGCAAATGAACATCAAGAGGCAATTCTTCGCATCCGAGAGCTGGCTGCATCTCCCGATGTCGATCCTGTTGCTTGTCATATAGTGGAAGTGAGTACCATTCGCTCATGCCAGATTCATGTGTCGTTATTGACTCCTGTCCTTCGTACACCAGGCCTACCTACGCGTCCAAATGGGAAATATCGCCTTGGAGGGCGCGCGCTATAATGAAGCTGTTGAACACTTCACTGCCGCTGCCAATGCCAGCACTTTCTTTTACAAATCGCCAATTCATGTGACATACGATGAGTTTGTCGTGGTATGCCAATGTGACGCCACCGAAAACTCCTTGCTTAACTATGTGTTTTCCACAGCTTTTTGGTTGGGACCTCAAGTACTTGTGGCAAACTGCGAACCAGCAACAGTGTTGTGCTTTCTTTCGAGCAGGTAGTTTTGTGACAGCCATCGAATCGTATCAGTCTATCATGGACAAGGTTGATGAGGATAGGAAGGCCGACTTACGTGCTTGGTTCGCTGGTAAGTATTCGGTAGTATCACCCGTCTCCGCCTATAATCATTAACTACACTTCACTTAGCCCTCGAGTAAGATAGAAACGCGCTCTATGCCTCCCATGGAGATGGTGCACTCGTAGCGAGCGGTCACTCGTATAGTTTGAAACAGAGATCCTCGAGTAGTTTCATTTGTACCTTGATGGTAGTTGTATTTCTCAAACAGTTCTTAGTGCTCGTGTCATGAACAGCAACCGCAGCCAGAGCACATACGAAGGACCTTCACGAGTTGGTGAAGCACAGACTGAGACATATCACGATTTGCGTCACGAGGAGAAAATTGTGATTCGTGCATGACATAAACTCCCAAACTTTTACGAGAAAACAAGGTGGCATAGCTGCGATTTCGTACAACCTAACACTCGCTGCATCGTCAAACTAAGTAGCTTGGGGCTTGACGATTTGTTCCATGTTCAAGTAGCATTGAAACTTACGAGTGTGCATCGTCTACCTTCAGGAGTCGAGCGGGAGACTTGCAAGGGAATGGATGGAGTTACATCAGTGAACTGGCAGAAAGATGAGAAGAAGATATATAGTAATATATAGTACATAATCACAAACATCGGCGTAATTCTGTCATGGATCAATACATTGTGATGTTTGACCTTGTAGAGGAAAGAACATTGTCTAAATCTCATACACCGGTGTATAATCGGGAAAACACCCACACGTCACTCAAACTCCAACATGAAGGAAATGTAGAGCAAAAGCTGATAGTCAAGCTAGATGCAACACAATTGGCACGTCAGAAGTAAGTTTCACGATGTTTGAAGTCCCTCGATCCTGGGACAATGTTCTGAGCGAGACTTAAAGCTGGTATTCTCCAGAGAACGACAAACTTTTTTCTGAGCGCGCAAGAATAAAATTATATCATACTGTGAATTTTGCTGCCAACCTTTCGTAAGTTGTTGATGTTTGTCCGCTATATATCAGTTGCGAATCTGTGTGAAAAAGCTGTATCATTGTATAGCAGCCGATATATGTTCACCAAGCAAGCAAGCATCCAATTATACCTTGCTTCGACTCTTCGTGCGACCTTCTGCGAGTATCCCATACCTCGGCACCTGTATTCACTTGCGAGAAATCCCAAAGAGGTCGTGGCGTCGTGCAAACACTTGTGCCTTTCGGATGTAGTACCTTGGCTTGAGAGCTTATACTAGTGAGTCGTGCTTCACCTTAGTACCTTACTTACCATTCATCCAGTATCTTACATGTTTCGTCATGCATAAATACCATTACATTTATAGCACCTCATGCGACGAATTCTGTGTGCGTGCAGTCACGACCGCGTCGACTTAGTTCATCCGTGAAAGGACAAAGTTGTTGTTGGGGAATGTTAGGTATTTAGCGGCTTCGTTTTGCTACACTTGAGCAATTGCTGACCTAGTACATAGACTGAATGGATATCCTGACCTGTCCATGTCTCACGAATCGGGTATCATCTTTCAGCTTTCTTGTAATTCTCAACGTGTAGATGGACGGAGAGAATTGATTCCGACTTTTCCCTACGTCATGGGGGTGGGGCTGTCATTTCGATAGTTTTTACAATTGTTGTTGCCTCGCATTCTCTGTAAAATCATATATTTTGGCACTTATCACGCTAGATTTTCTCGATGCAGCCTACAGAACACAAGTAAGGGAATTCACTGGCTGTAGCTCAACCTGTACTCTGTAGATTGTTCACAACATGTGAACGAGGTGCAGAAGACCCAATCTGTTGCCTGGATTCACCAGGCATAGCTTAACCTCTAGCAGCCCCCTTTTGTTGCTTTCTTATGGCACGAGTGCAAATAGTCAGCCTGCTATCACTCCACGTCAAACAATTAAAACTTGGTGCAAATCATGACATTAATTAAAAGGGTAGACAACCAACTATTGTGATGTAATAATAAATGGCTGGAATGATGTGTGAACTACTCAGAATCGAAAAGTGCATCATCCAATCGTGCCCGCTGCATTGCGAGAGCATTTACGGACATGTGAGCCTTGGCCGCATCACTGAGTTCCGCCCGACGAGTTGTTCCAAAAACTTTCCTAATAAACAGAGGTCAGTTAACAGCTGTTGACTTGTAATAAATTTACCTCGTCCACCACATCAGGAGTCGGTCAACGTTGCGCTGCGCTGTTCGACCAGGCGGGCATTCAAAGAAATCCACGATATTGCACCAGAATTGTATGTAATCGAAGTCGCCGTCTACTGACCGCCATGACGTTACAGAGGAAAGGGCGAATCACAACTACATGTGTCAGGATTTGTTAGTGCTCGGCAAGGACATGGAAAACTGACCACTTACTTGACACGACACATAAGCGATCGAGCGAGGTGAGACTTTGTGCATTTTAATGATTTGAGCGACGTGTGTTTTGACTTTCTTGCCCAAAACATCCTTCTTCGCGCGTCTGTTGTTTTCAATGATGTTGGCGCCATCACCATCACCAGCAACTTCCTTTGCCGAAGAGGGTGATGTAAATATGGCTTTGAATGCCTGCCAAAAATGAGAGCTTTGAGAATCTGTTTTAGTATGACGAACCTGAACTAAAAGCTTGCTTTTGAAGAGACCCTCCTCGAGATTATTCGGATCAGCTGTATATCCTGCATAAAGAAATGCGGGCCATGACATTTCCGTCACGATATGGCCGTCTATGCGGTCCCTAATTCCTGCTCTGACACTGGCGGAAAATTAGTGTCTAGTAGAGAGATCACAAGTGCAATACTAATGTTGGGTTATTCCAGTCTAGCTCTGTTGGACAGAGCAGTCTGCCACAGGCGTCGTTGGTGAAGCCACGGCAGTGTTTATCTTCGGGGTCGACTGGGGGATCAGGTTTCCACTCGCGATTGACCCAATCAGGGACAAGAGGCTTGAGCTTCGAAGTGTCATCACCTTGAGCACCGTCCGCACCCTGTCTAAGCTGAAAAACGATTTAATGTAAGGTTAATTATTGACACAAGCGAAGAACACCTTTTTTAACATGTGCGTATAATCTTCGTACTCCATGTCGGAAGCCTTTCGGTGAAACCACGGAAGTACATTATTGAGGACTATATATCCGGTTTGCAACCAATTTTGACTGGTATCAAACCGGTCAGTAGCGATCAGTAGGTGGAGGTGAAACACGGACTCGAGAGTTATGTCGTCGTCGTCGCCCTCTATGTCACACCGCCTATCGTTTTCATTTATCAAGTCCTCGACGCTATCATATAGTGTAACCATCCGTCTGATGGCCCGTCCTTGTGACATGAAGTAGTTTGTTTCCCTGACAATGATGAGTATACTGAACTACATGTTACGATGGTGTTCATACCTTTGTTTCACCGCATGCCCCGACTCGAGCACTTGCAGCTTCTCCTCCAGATCAGCTATTCTGCGCCTCTGTCGAGCAATATCAGACGTTGGCACCGCTATGGACGATACAGCAGCAGGCTGCTCGATCTGGGACGATGCTTCAGGCTGTGGGTTATCGTCCACCTGGGACATGAGCGAGGCGAGGGAAAGGAGATTGGGGATTGGGGATTGGAGAGAAGGTAAGAGAGGTAGGAATAGAGTTGAATTTGCGTACCCTCTGCTTTATTTAACGGCCATCCAGTATGTGTCAGCAAAGGCAGCTGCCCTAAATATGATCATACGCCTACAATGGAAAGTGTCAGACAAGGAACAGTTAATAATGTTACTTACCTTTTTGAGTGACAATACTTATGCAGGATATCATGTTAGCGTCAACGTAAACTCAGGAAATTGTCACATACCACACCATAGTACATCGGCTCCGAGTCAGGCTAGTACGAAGAAGCTTGCTTCATAACAAGGATGCCACCATGGCCCATCAGCAGGTTGGATTGTGCTACGGAGTGCTGCAGAGCGCTCTGTAACACTCTGTAGTGAATTATGTCTGCCTGATGCTGATGCTCATTAAAACTCGTCAATCACGAGTAGCAACCTTGACTGGCTGACTTAACTCACTGATTTGAACGGCAGAAAGAAAATCCAGCTTCGTCTTGCTCAGGAAGAGTCGGAGGCACGACCTAAGGTCTGAGCGTTAGTTGAGGGATGTAAACAGGTGGAGCCACCTGCTTACGCCGAATTCGGTCGTGCGCTGACTCTGCAAATCACTGAGATAAGCTTTATACATTCTACTAATTGTGATAAGACTGGATTAACGGTTAGAAAAGCTAATTAACAGGGAGTGGCGGGTGGAAGCAAGGAAGGATAATGAATGAGGGTTTGAAGGATGCCAAGCTCGATGTCAGTGGTTTGGATTGTGCTACGGAATGCTACAGAGCGCTCTGTAGCACTCTGTGGTGAATTCGTGGGTAGGGCGAGAAACGGAAAGGAAGATTATTCAAGGGTGATGAAAAGTATGTAATTCTCCTTCAGATCTCTGGAGTGCCATTTGCGCGGTGGTACATAGTGCTGACAGACTCTTCTGAGTCATCAGCATTGGCACGGGCGTCCTTGATTTTTTGAAAACAACGCAAAGCCCAACGGCGAGATAAAGACATGCATCGTCTGGCCGCCAATCCGCATGACGACGGCCCACCAACAACCTTTGCAACACGTGAGCCTTCTTCCGTAGACACTTCATCATACGGTTCGAACTCCTCATCTGTAAGCCACCTAATCGATTGTCCACCATCTGGGTAATATTCGTGAACCATTGACTTCCTTTTGGGAGGTGAGGAAGGCAGCTTCTTATGGTACCGACCACTAGATTCCCTCATCTGCAACATCTCGCGCTGTATTTCCGCCAGGTCGCGGGCATGTTCGACTTGAGCGTCATACAACCTGCCTTGCAAATCAAAAAGTTCCATGTGAAGGGTGTCGATTCGTCTCTGGGAGTCTCGCAATTGGACTTGCGTGATGAGTTGAGTGTTAGCGATAGTCTGATTGCCATTGACATCTCCTTGAAGATCATAGACCCTCTGTTTAAGCTGTACGACAATTCAACACAACACTGATTATTGTCACTGACAAAGCTCACCCTTTTTGACGTATGCAAGTGATTGTCGTGCACCATACTATCACTATCTGAAGACATTTCAAGGGCCACATATCCGATTCGCAAACGATCCTGGCTTTAATAACAAATCCATGAGTAGTTCTCATAAGACAGAGATGAAACACTAACCTGAAGACGAGAGTTACATGAACGTCGTCGTCGTCCTTATCGCAACCATTCTTGCCTACTAAGTCCTCAATGTTATCGAGTAAGGTAATCATCTGTCTGATGATAGTTCGTCCTTGTGAGATTGTTTTCCACCAGACTAGATGTAAAAGCGAGGCCTATACCTTTTCAATGTATGCCCCGACATGAGGTTCTCTTCTAAGTCAGCAATTTTCCGTTTCTGACCAGCATTCTCATGGCAGACGTCAGTGCCACCACTATGGGCGATGCTGCGGGAGGTCGTGGGGTGTTATCCACCTGGGACAATTCTTCGGGATGCTGATCATCCTCCATCTGGGACATGAGCAGAAGGGGGGCGGGGGAAAGGGGGAAGAGTGAGAGGGTAGGAGACTGGTGGCTAGTGTTCACTAGCGGCTCTCACTATATTTAGTGTTAATCGTCAACCTTTTAGTATTAGCCAAAAAAAACTTCCCTGAAGACATTGACATTTAGGTTTTCCATTGTAGGCGTGCGCTGGAAATGGTCTTGTGAATAAACTAGTAATGATGATCATAAGTGCTACCAACATAATTGAACAAATTTGTTGTTACGTTGGCAGTTGACACTGAAAATTAGCTGAAAACGTACATGGATAAAATAGTCAACCATACTCAAACTGGTGTGGGTGCCTACTAGGGTCCAAGGAATGGGTGCATCGCTCGAAGCCTAACTTGCTAGGCTGTAGCATATCGTCATCATAGGAAGGTGATCTTTGTCAGCACTAGTAGTAGACACGCAGACCGACACCATCACACTCTTAGTACTGGGCTGAGGCCTTATACCCAGGTCCATCAGCGACAAACCATGATAATGTAGATAGAAATTAAAATAATTGTCCTGACCGAGTCGAGATGCAGATGAGAATGACGAAATCATGATGGATCAGGTCACAGAAGGGACTCGGAACGTCACGGTACGGGTACGGCCCATCAGGCAAACATAATTCACTACAGAGTGCTACAGAGTGCTCTGCAGCACTCCGTAGCACAATCCAACCCACTGATGCCGGTGCTAGTACGAGGCCGTTGAAGAGGTTGAAAAGGTTTCGAGGGCACGTGAAGCATACATGATGGAAAGGAACTCATTGAACTAAAGAGGGTCACGGTGACCAGCCTAGTAACCATGTTGTAGTAGCTACACGCTGTACGTCTGCGGACAAAGACAGCTCGTGAAGCATGTACATCGTACTGCTAGCCAAACCTAGTAATTGAAGGCTTAACTCGATAGAGGAAAATTTAAAAAGAAAGATGGTCATCAAACAAATCCTCATCTCCATCTCCATCTCCATCTCCATCTCCATCATCTCCATCCAGCTCCTCACCGCTAAGCTCATCCTCATCCTCATCATCATCCTCATCCTCATCTGAGTCCTGTTCATCATCACATTCTGCTTCTTCGAGGTCTACATCGTCAACGATATCCATAGCGTCCGAGTCACAGTCAGCTGGGGCCGCTACTAGTGAGCCAAGACAGTCTCTGGTTATCTTCCGCAACGCTACTGGGTGTCCAATGCCAAAGTGAGTATAGCGTATAAACATATCTCGATCGACAAAGCTAACCCAAGACTCGAGGGTTAATGTATCATAAAAGGTAATATGCTAGCACACTCACATCCCAACATAATATGATTCCCAATCATCTAGTTCCCCGTCAGGACGTCCCAATGATTTCCCAAGGGAAAGGGAGCTTATGCCTCGTCCCGCGGAAAAAGCAGGAATCAGGTGAGCTCCTCGAATCACCTGGTCTGGATCGAGAAACCCGAACGAGTCAGGGTCAGATTCCTCAACAAATGCGACTTTCGGAAGACGAGTATGTTTCATGCTGCATTTATGGTTCCGTAATGGTGCTAGCCATCGGACCCAGAGGACTTCAAGACGGTGCTTTACAGGTTGATCTCCGTCGTTGAGCCAGGTTTCCATATGATAGATACCCAGCACGCGAGCGTACCAATATGGGTGGCTGGGTGTCGTCTCCCCAGAAAGCACCATGACGTCAGCGTGGGTCCTAGGGTTGATTGTATCATATTTGCGTCTGAGGTCGTATGTAGTGTAATACACCTGCATGGTTTGGACTGAGTAGATAGTGTTATTAGGGATGACTACCGAGTTGTGTTCTTCATCTGTGAAGACGTGGTCGCAACAACTGGTGTCAAGCTTGCGCAGCCTGTAAAGGATGTAGTCCTTCAGCCTTGGAATGAAATTCTGACGACTATTGTGAGAAAAGTGTTCCAACTGCAATATCATGCCTACCTTAACTGCTGGGTCGCCATCGTGTTCTCGAAGGAAGGGGAATAGGTTGACTGGATTGCTTTTAGTATTCGCGATGTGGTGATGGTTTCGAGAGAGCACCAAAGGCGGGGCTTCGGCAGGCGATTGGCTATCAGAGGAGAATGACGTGCCTCCAAATTCTGCAACACATCGAAGTACACGGCGCCTCCGCTCGTGTTTAGCTAACTGTGCTGGGGTGTCTAGTTTACTGGTTAGCGGGTAAAATGCCTTTAGGGCTCGGTGTGCAAGCTCTCCCTGGCCAAACTGAACATCAGGTGGATAGTGTAAATAAAACAGGCACATACTATTTGAGTGGTGAAAGAATCTGTTGTTCCGAAAAGCTTAATGGTTCTAACATAATCCCCCATTGCATAAAACTTGTAAGTACCAAGATTGAACTTCTTTACCCTCGATCCATTTACTTCTGGAGAGGTGGTACCAGGCTCTGAGTGCTGAGCAAGTCTTCGTTGGCGAGCCGCTTTTTCTTTCGGTAATTCGATGGTATTGAAGGCAGCACACGTGTTGCGTTGAAACTTCCGCAAGTTCTGACAGAGCTTCTTGAATATCTCGTCAAAAAAAGTAACCGTAGACTCTGTATGAATTCTAAGTTTAGCGATTGCATGCCACTGTGCGAATCGATACAACAGAGACTGCACGATTGCATCGTGGTCTGGTGGAAACAACCCTTCAAAAACTGGAATAGAACACTTGGGGAACATGTCAGTTAGTCTAAGAAAAAACGAAAGACGGAATAACCTGTAAGATATCTTCAAAGTCACGCGCCGCTAATCGTTTCATCTCGGATGTGTTGTTCGCAAATTTTCGAATCACGCCATTGCCAAACGTGAGGACCTGGCGAAATCTACGGTAATATTGAGAGTCGACGACTCATTAGTAAATAGTGACAGCACTCTATGAATTCGCGAACCTGCTGTCAAGAGTAGCCACCAGCTGGCTACCCCCAGGAAGAGCATAAAGAAGCCGTACAAGGTGCGTAAACAGCGCCTTCCAAGTACCCAATTCGCACTCGTGCATAAGGTCAACAATGA